TATGGTACAATCTGGTTTAATTTAGCGCAATATAGTCTGAGTTGTAATGGTATGGGTGGAGTCACAGTGGGCATGTCACGGAATAGAAGTTCCTTCATAATATAAGTCCAAAGGGAAAAAATATTCTGGAATATTATTTCCACAGGAATAAATATTACAGTATATGTTCCTAACGGAATAAATGGTATAGAATATTTGTTCCAACAGGAATAGATATTATGACATTGTTTATAACAGAGTTTCCAGTGGAACTTCTGTTAGGCGGAACAAATATACGCTGACAGGCAAATTGCAAACAATGCAGCACGAGATTTAAATACATTTGTACCAACATTATACATTATACAGTTTTTCGCTCTCGGTAATAATTTTGCAAATATGAGTTAAGGCGGTTCAAGGGAAACAAGGAGTCCAATCCCCTGATGGAGCTACACATTAACAGTGGACTCTATCCCCCTTTTTTAAATCCTGGATCTGCATCTTGGGTAGAAAGACCTGTGTGATGGAAGCTTAAAACCAGATGCATTATCATACTATAGTGTTGATTTGATGTGAGTTTTTTAAAGGAATCATAATGTTGTAAATGTTGTTGTTTGTGTGAGTACACGACAACTGGTACCGTCAACAACTGGTACTGTCAACAACTCGTACTCAACCAACTTGTACTTTTACCAACTCGTAATTCTTCCAATCCTACTTTTACCAACTTGTACCTATTTTTGTAGCATTGTTATGTATCATTTAATCAGAAATTGAATTAATGTTTTAACAAATGTTTAAAGGAAAAAGATACTAATTGTTAGACACATTCCAATGACAATTACAGCTCCTCTATAAAAACATGCAAAGCAAACCTTTGATCAACTTGTTTGCAATGTTTGCTTGGATGTTTGCAAACAATAGGTAGGCGGGGTTTCAGTCTGTTTTATATATACTGGGATTTGATTGGACAATAAAAATTGACATGCACTGAAGTTAATGTTTATTGTCCAATCAAATTCCATTATATAGTAAACAAACTGAAACAGACTACCTACCTTTTGTTTACAAACATCCAAACAAACATAGCAAGCAAGTTGATCAAAGGTTTGCTTTTATAGAAGAGCTGTAAGTCCGAAAACAAAAAGTAAATTAACTTATTTATAAGTTGTTGTTCTTAACCATGAATTTTACATGTGTTCAGGTGTAACTGTATATTCGTGGAACAAAATGATTATAACGAAATTTCTTGAGGATTAAATTTTTTGATATTTATTCCTTTTTAATCAAATAATTTCCTGAAACACAAAGCCACTTTAAACGTTTTCCTAGAATGACTAAACATAAACAATTGACTTATTCTTGAAGGTCATACTAAAAGATACATGAGATTGTCTACACCTGAGTGATTTAGAAAATTAATCACTACATTTAACAAAAAATAATAGTAAGACCAGGAATATCCGTTACATTATCCAGGAATATCCGTTACATAATGATTAATTAAAGATTTTAATAATTCAAGAAATACTGTAGGGAATGTAATCGGCCGCAGGGTAAAAACAGTTAACGAGATCTGGCAAGATATACAAATCGCTTGCATTTGTAATATTGGCAAGTAGGTGTTCTTCTGGTAACAGAAGTCCAAGGAAGTTAGAGTGAACGAGAAGCACGATCCCCACTGACGCTAGGCCATAACCTGAAAAAGCTTCCCCGGTATTCAGAGGATAAAATAATTCAAAACTAGTACCAGTAATGAACCGGCCGCTTTCGTAAACAAGAGGAAACCGTCTGGCCCTCAGACCGTTTTTGGTGCACACTGCTTTCAAAATTTATACACCTGACCTTGCATGTTACATTTTTTGTCTTTTAATGTGTGTAATGATTTCACAAGTACTTGTCATTAAGCACCTAACTAACAAAAATGGCCTGTTTTATTTTAAATTGACCTTTCACGACAAGTAGAAAAACAATGACCATACATGACTGTTTAAATCTATATTTATCGATCTTATCAATAGGTAAAAAAAATTCAGCACAGGTAAATCAGCGTAGAGTATAAAAAACTATTCACTGGGTATGATTTCACTGTATCATCGCCACAAAGGAAACATAAATAGTTTCCTTTCATTTTAACCATTTCTACCGTTTCGATGTGGTTACCGCTTTTGAAACGATTTTCTGATATACAATTGGCTTCAGTTTTTGTATTCCAACTAGCAAATATCAAGATCGGCAAATATCCTAGTCCGTTAAAATTTTCTAATATCCTTATGTTTAAAACAGAAGAAAATGAAATCACTAAAGAGAAAACCAAAAACAAAAGAACACTGAACTTCTTGCAATGATCGACGAAAATATTGATGGCTTACCTACAGAACAAAAGAAACATTTTGAAAAAAACAAAAACTGAAATACGCTAAAACATCTGTTCTCATAGAATTTTGAACAATGTCAGAATTGAATTAAGACATGATTTCAGTAACTTCGATGACTTGGTGTGTTTATTGTGTGTTTATAGCACTTGTAGATGTACAGTACATGTTTTCAAATATGTTTTTTTTTCAATCTATTGGAACGTTTTTTCATGATTTTGAGATTTTTTTTCGTTTGGTTGTTGTCTCGTGAGCAAATGCCTATTTCTTTATCCCCTCATCCCCCCCCCCCCCCCTCCCCCTATAATCTAAGTGGCTATATGCTTTAGGTGATTCAAACACTATCTTCTTAAGACTGAAACACAGATTTATGGCAAGCCCTTTTACTATTTATTCTAACTTCAAGATATCTCATAAACTTTATAAGATATCTAATATAGTTCATAAAATATCTTATATAGTTTATGAGATATCTTATAAGATATCTTATATTGTTAATGAGATATATCATATAATTTTCTTTATAAGATATCTTATAAACTATAAGAGATATCTTATAAATTATAAGAGATATCTTATAAATTATAAGAGATATCTTATAAACTATGTAAGATTTCTTATAAACTTTATGAAATATTTTATATTAAAAATATTTATAAAATTTATAAGATATCTTATATACTATATAAGATATCTTATATACTATATAAGATATCTTATATACTATATAAGATATCTTATATAATATATAAGATATCTTATAAAACAGATTATATAAGAGTTTATAAGATATCTTATATAATTTATAAGATATCTCATTTAGTTCATAAGATATCTTATATAGTTTATAAGATATCTCATTGAAGTTATAGGATATCTTATATAATTTTCTTTATAAGATATATCATAAATTATATGTGATATCTTATAAACTATATGAGATATCTTATAAACTATATAAGATATCTTATATAAAAAATATTTATAAGATATCTCATATACTTTATAAGATATCATATAAACTTTAGAAGATATCTTATGAAGTATATAATATATCTGATAAACTATATGAGGTAATTATATTATATATAAGATACCTATATGATAAATAAGATATGTTATGAAAATTAAATAATATAAGATATCTTATATATTGAATAATGAGATATATCATATAATTTTCTTTATAAGATATCTTATTAACTATAAGAGATATCTTATAAATTATAAGAGATATCTTATAAACTATGTAAGATTTCTTATAAACTTTATGAAATATTTTATTTTAAAAATATTTATAAAATTTATAAGATATCTTATATACTATATAAGATATCTTATATACTATATAAGATATCTTATATACTATATAAGATATCTTATATAATATATAAGATATCTTATAAAACAGATTATATAAGAGTTTATAAGATATCTTATATAATTTATAAGATATCTCATTTAGTTCATAAGATATCTTATATAGTTTATAAGATATCTCATTGAAGTTATAGGATATCTTATATAATTTTCTTTATAAGATATATCATAAATTATATGTGATATCTTATAAACTATATGAGATATCTTATAAACTATATAAGATATCTTATATAAAAAATATTTATAAGATATCTCATATACTTTATAAGATATCATATAAACTTTAGAAGATATCTTATGAAGTATATAAGATATCTGATAAACTATATGAGGTAATTATATTATATATAAGATACCTGTATGATAAATAAGATATGTTATGAAAATTAAATAATATAAGATATCTTATATATTGAATAGGATATTATATCAGATATCTTATATATTATATGAGATATCTTGAAATTCGAATAAATAGTAAAACAGCTTGCCATATATATTCGTAAATCTGAGCATAGAACAAATACTTTGTATCATGGTCTGTAAATGTAAACACAAAAGAAGAAAAGTAAGATGAATTGTGTTTCCGGCAATCTGTATTGAATGACAGTAGAAAACTCATGTTCTCGGTAAATTGTAAACACGCAGTAGTCCATCATGCAATAAAACATACGAAAAACATTTTATATGTCAATGTCCCCTTTATGATCTCTTCAGAAAAGAGTTATATGATAAAATTATGATAAGTTGTAAAAACTATGATAATTTTGAAATGTTAAACACAAGTGTCAAGTTTGATTGTTTTTTAATCAAGAAAACCTAGAGGTTTGAACATTAATGCAATTTATGTTAATAAATGTTTTGAACTCAGAAAACTATCTATATAGTACAGATATGTTTATGTGTAACTAACCCATTAAGAATATTTGCCTGTAAATAGCATATATAGCTGTTATGCATTTTACTTATATGCTTATGGCTAGATAACACACACACAGACACATACACAAAAAGGAAGTTTTTTGTTATTCATACATTATTCTGTAAAACCGGGAAAAGATTTTTGTTTTTACCACCATCTTACGTTTTCCATGCCTTCACATAGGAGATTAATTCTTCATATAGAGGCTACTCGTCATACACCAATAAGACACAACCCACCGTATCAAACCAACCCTTATAAAGTTATTATAATCTGATTGGTTACAACGTTTCGAATCATGAACATCCTCGTAAGATTTGTTAGGATTTTCATTGTCTAAGATGGCACAAAGTTGTAAGCAATGCTTGAATACGAATTTATTAGTAATTCTTACATTACTTGGTGGAGCTGTAGGTTTATCTGTGGGATTTTCTTTAAGGAAGTTGACATTAACGAAAGATACTCTTCTGTGGATAGGTAAATATATATACATATATGTCTTTTCTGATTACGTTGAATTAATTTTTAACAAATGAGCAAAGAAAAAGATACTAATTGTTAGACACATTCTATGAACAATTAAGTCGGAAAAGAAAACGTAAATTAACTTATTTATAAGTGTTGTTCTTAACCATATATTATACGGAATTTTATGAGACTGTCGTACAAGTGAGAGATTTAGCGCTATAAAACCAGGTTCAAGCCACCATTTTCTACATTTGAAAATGCCTGTACCAAGTCAGGAATATGACAGTTGTTGTCCATTCGTTTGATGTGTTTTGTCATTTGATTTTGCCATGTGATTAGGGACTTTCCGATTGAATTTTCCTCGGAGTTCAGTAATTTTGTAATTTTACTTTTTACATGTGTTTAGGTGTAACTGTATATTTATTTCGCATAATATTATGTTCCACATAGAACAAAATAATTATAAAGAAAGTTCTTGAGGACTAAATTTTTCAGTCCCCTACCGACGAAGTCGAAGGGGACTTTAGGTTTGCACTCCGTCCGTCCATCTGTCTGTCTGTCTGTCTGTCTGTCCATCCATCAGTCCGGCAAATCAGTTTTCCACACTTTTTTTCTTTGTGCTTGAAGATATTGATTTGATAATTGGTATATAGTTTTAACATGACAAGTTACAGACCAAGATCGAATTTTGTTTTTTGTTTCGGTCTGATGATTTTGTGCAGATTTATTGTCCTTGGACTTGGAAAATTCACTTAAATAATCAGTTTTCCACACTTTTTTTGTCATACTTGAAGATTTTGACTTGATATTTGTTACATAGTTTACACCATGACAAGTTATAGATCAAGTTAGCATTTTGTTCAAGTACAATTAATTTTTAACCGGTAGGGGACTATGTATTGCCATGCAATACTCTCAGAATGCTTGTTGATTTTAATTCCTTTTTCATAAAATAATTTCCTGGAACATAGAGCCACTTAAAAGTTGTCTTAGAATGACTAGAAATAACAATTGACTTATTCTTGAAGGTCGTACTAAAAGATACATGTGATTGTCTACACCTGAGTGATTTAGAAAATTAATCACTTAGTACATACATGTACGTTTAACAAAAAATAATAGTTAGACCAGGAATATCCGTTACTTTATCCAGGAATATCCGTTACATAATGATTAATTAAAGATTTTAATAATTCAAGAAATACTGTATGGAATGTAATTGGATGCAGGGTAAAAATTTGATTTCACAAATACTTGCCATTTTCACATTTACATACCTTCTCAATTAACTTTACATTTGAGGGAACCAGTAGTAACAAATAATTTGAGAAAGTGCACTTAAACATAAATAGATAATTAATGTGAACCACTGAAAAGATTTAAATTTATTCTGAGTGGAATTATATTTTTAACTAAACAATTGTGTCTTATTTTTATTTGACGTTCAAACTATCAGTCAGTTATAATGCTGCGTGCTTAAGCTATTAAGATTGTACGTATCCTTAAGTTTATACACATGATTTTTATAAAAAATGTGTTTTTACGACATGTTGTCTATTAAGACACAAAAGGAGGGGTTGCGCATGCAAACTGTTTTAACCAAACCACATTGTGTGCCTCCACCTAGTCAGACCATCTGAACCATAAATTACCCGTTGTTGGTTTTGCTGATTTGGTTTTTGTGTAAACATACAGTATTATATAGATAAAAGATTCATTGTCAAAGACAAATATGAATCATTTGGCCCAGAAGCGTATACTAATATTTAAAAGTGATCAAAACACCCACTGCATGTACTTGCATGTAATAGTGCAATTACTTAATTTATCATTTGTTCGGGTTTAATAATTATTTATGTATATAAAAAGTTTTCTTACGGTACATCCAAGTCTAAAGTGTGGTTTGTTTTTCAGTGTTGCTACTGTATTGATTATTTAAGTGTCACTCCTCTGTCACCAATAATTTGTTTTTTTTTTAATATAACTGATTTCTTTGTTTTCAAAGAACCACGTCTTCTCCAATAAATAATCCTGAGCTTAGAAGATAATCGTCAGATGATTAACAGGTAATAAGAGTATCCAGAAACTAAAAAGGTTGCTAACATACATTTTTGTAACAATTTGAAGTTAAGCATTTATTCCTTATATTCGTTATTAAGTAAAGCTTTTATACTGCCTAAACATCTAATCAGGATATGATTGTATATACGATATTTGTATCATCTTAACAAATAAATAATACTTTTTAGGATACTTTTAGTATAAAAAATTCTTCAATTCAGGAATACTTGGAGAAATGTACATTCGTATGCTGAAAATGATGATTGTTCCTTTGATGGTTTCCTCCATAATAACAGGTACATACAATCCATGTGTTCATCTGTTTAAAAAAAAAATTACAAGGAGGCAATCAAAAGCGTTGTCATAGAAAGACTGACAACACAACAATCTGACTTAAGGTGGTACATAACACTACAGGGAGATAACTCTGTAAAAATCACCTGAACGTTTTAATCACGTCTATTGTTAAGGAAATATTAAACTTCTCAATGATCAAAATTAGTGTTTGTCAAACTGCTATATATCCAATGAAATTTTTCCGATAAAGTGTGTGGTTCAAGTTTTTTTGAATTTTTTATATTTTTGTCAAAGGGTCAAAGTAAATATTTTGTCAAAATTTTATGAAAATTAAACGAGCCAAATTAATTTTAGTCGAGGTGTTTGGTACCACCTTAAGGATGACAGACAGGCACCTGTCCAGTCCTCAAAACAGAAAACGGTTACTCAGAAAATGAGGTGAACATTCTGACACTCGATCTGTTCATTACATTTGACAAACAAATAACCTATTTTGAAATTTATCTAAACTATTATTTCCTTTTACAGATAGCATATTGATGACACATTCACTGTTAAGTTATAGGACTCATGACGCGTCCGGTTGCGTTAAAAAATTGTACACCGATGTTCAATATTTTAATACGACATGTTCAATAAATGTTCAGGCTTAGACAAGTTACTAACACGTTTGTCTTCAAAATATCAACACACAAATTCCGACGATATTAACACCCGTGCCTTGATTCTGTTCTATATATGAAAATAATTGTTTATCCGACTGTTCTATCTTCCTTTGCAATTGGCCAAATCGACATACAAAGAGAGGCGAAAAGATACTGGAGGAACATTCAAACTCGAATTTCTGACATAAACTAAATAAACTGACAACGACATGACTAAAAAAGAAAAAGACAAACAGACAAACAATAGTACACAAAATACAATTTTAATAGAAACTAAAGACTACTAAAGACTATACAAGCAACACGAACCCCACCTGTTATCTTTAAGGAATCACCAGAGAAAGATCAAATTTATTTCATATATATCTAATGTGGCAAGTTTTTTTTTGTAGCACTTGTGTTTACACTGTATAATATATATATATAAAAGATGTGGTATGATTGTGGTATGATTGTTAATGAGACAACTCTTCACAAGAGACCAAATGACACAGAAATTAACAACTATAGGTTACCGTACGGCCTTCAACACTGAACAAAGCCCATAACGCATAGTCAGCTATAAAATGCCCCGAAATGACAAATGTAAAACAATTCAAACGAGAAAACTAACAGCCTAATTTATGTACAAAAAAAAAAAATGAACGAAAAACAAATATGTTACACAGTAACAAAACGACAACCAATGAATTACAGGCTCCTGACTTGGGACAGGCACATACATACAGAATGCACATATAAGACATACACTGTTGGCTTTATTAGAAAGCCCGGTATAGAAGATGATTTAACATTTTGTGGTTCAATTTTTATTTTATTTTATTACCGTGGAGTGCTACCTCAAACTGTGGTATATCGGGAAAAGATGCATTGTTCCACATATTTTAGCCATTAGCCTGAAAACAAGTACGTGGACCCTTATTTTTCAATATGACGTTTGGCTTGGTTATGTATGAAGATTATTTGTACCAGTTTTTATGAACAAATAAAGGCAACAGTTCATAAAAACTGGTACAAATAATTGTTTTCCTCTTATAGTTGATGTGTTCCGGATTTGTTTTCTCTTAATCGATTTATGACTTTTGAACAAAGGTACATCAACTATAAGAGGAAAACAACGGAGCAATAGAAATTCTAAACTGCAACAAAAACAAACGCCAACATACATATAGAAACGGATAATTTGATAAAAACTGCCATATTCCCGACTTAGTACTTGACATTTTAAGAAAAAATGGTGGGTTGAACCATATCACCGATGATTTATTTAGAGCAAACTTATGTCAAGAAGATATTCCAACTGCTTTTACAAAAATCCTCATGTGTTAATCTTTTGAAAAAAAAATAGGTATGCCTGTCAAAAGGAGAGTACTTTTTAAAAAATAGAAATTATTAATACATGTCTTAAAGTTCGACATCATTTATCTCTAAAAGTAGCATATCAAGGTGTATTTTTTAAAATATATATATTTAAATTGGCTAGTAGGTGAAAAATATCTTGCATGCAAAGCATCGACAAAAAATCACTGCGAAATTTTTAATACATTTCTAAAAGTTCGACCCCATTTATCTCTAAAAGTAGCACATTGGTGTGTATTTTATTCCATATATATTTGAATTGACTAGTAGGTGAAAAATATTTTGCATGCAAATCATCGTCAAAAAATCTGCGCGATCAAAACTGTATCGTATGCCCTTCAAATTAAATTATTCATTCTCTTGGAAAAGTTTACGGACGCCTAGCCTTTGATTTTTCATATATTTTATCAAAATTTGACGGCATAATTGGCTACGGTTACCGAGATTTCAATGATGAAAAGTACGATGTCGTTTTTGTTGTAGCACATGTCCGGTCAGGCAAACGGCTCGTGTAAATAAAATTTAGGCCAGGAAATCCCACCACAAAATAAAATTTAGAAGTGAAAGTGTAAAGTTTAGTATTAAGAAACAATTATGTACGCTTGGAAACAGAACGGTTCTGAAAGTTTACATCAGGTGCTCTTAATCATAACACTTTGTGTATGTTCATGTACTATGTGTTTAAAAAGTGTCACATTCGGACATATTTAAACGTTTTACACTTTAAAAGTGTTTAGAACTCTAACATTTAGTGTTGAAAAATGAAAAACAAAGGCATTTAAAATTTGATCACCACACATTTAAATAGTGAACACTATTGCAAACATTTGGAACAACATTTCATTTTCAAAAAGTGTTCAACCAGTGTTCTATTTATAAACACTTGTATTTACAGTGTTTTTCATTGACCTAATGCTAGTACATGTCAAATGATACCAGTTTAAACTAAACTCTCAGTAAATCATTAACATGTCTAAACTGAACCATGGTTAACCTGTAGGAACCTGTTTAATTCAAACCCTGAGTAAACGAAAAGCCTGTTTACAAATAAAGCTGAGTAAACTAGAAATATGTCTTAATCAAACCCCAAGTAAACAAAATCCCTGTTTGAACCGAATCCAGAGTCAACTAGAAATGTGTCTAAAGGTGCTTTAAATAGTTTCCTTTAAAAAAAACCTAGGGGTTAATCCCCTACCCAAAATAGCCATGGAAATAAATTTCTTTTTATTTACATAATTGGTGAAAAAGTACCATGTTTTTGTATTTGATGGTAATATTAGTTCACTGTTAGTTGGTTTTCAAAAAAAAAACAAACAGGTTGATTGATCAAAATAACTTTAAAAATTAGATTAAATATACATCTTTTTAAAGGAGACAACACTGTAAACATCCTGTTTTTAGTTGTGAAAATTGAAAACTTATCTGTTGCTACAGTATCTCTTTCCGAAGCAGGCTAACGTACCCTGAAGCAAGTATTTTTTTAAAAGATGAAAATATGACGTCATAGAAAAAATGTTGATTGCATCCTAAACCGTACCCTGAATAAAATATGAACATGTACAACAAAATGTATAAAAAAAAATACCGAACTCCAAAGTAATTTCGAAAGGGGAAAGTAATAAAACTGACAAAACCAACGTAACAATTGAAAAAAACAACCATCATATTCCTGACTTGGTACAAGCATTTTCCGAAGGAAAGGGTGGGTTAACCTAGCTAGCTAAACCTCTTACTTGTATGACAGTTGCTTATAATTCCGTCATATTGACAACATTGGGTAGGCAAACCAAACAGGCATAATATGTAAATGAGACAATGATTGGGACCGAGAAGCCAAAACTGTGTAAACATACATAACATACATACAACACAAATGACTAAACAAATCAAACAAACTTTCAAATAAATCTAACAAAGACGCCAACAAAAACGTTGATGTTGATAATAAATTTAACAAATACGCTGACGAAAAAGTGTTTTCAATTGATAGTATACTGACAAAGAAGCAGCTAAAAAAAATTGTAGTTGATAGTACACACCGTATATAGTATACACATTCTCGATAAAGTACAAATTCAGTAAAATATAAACAAAATGAAAACAACACTTTAAAAACCTCTTATGTCCGACGACGTTTTACAAAGTTTAAGGAAGCTTTTTGATATCGTATGAGTTGTGAAATGTGTACTCCATTCGTGAATGAAAAAAGTGAAGTAATAAAAATACCGAGCTCCGAGGAAAATCCAAAACGGAAAGTCCCTAATCAAATGGCAAAGTCAAAAGCTGAAACACACTAAACGAATGGATGACAAGTGTCATATTCCTGACTTGGTACAGGCATTCTCTTATGTAGGAAATGGTGGATTACACCTGGTTCAATAGCTTGATAAACCTCTCACTTGTATGACAGTTGCAAATTGCTGCTATGGGGAGGAACATTTCAAAACCGAAATCGCGATGTTTGTCACAGGCAAACCCTGTGTAAACGAAGAAACCTTTCTAAACCGAACCGTGTATAAACCGAATGCTAAGCAAACAAAAAACCTGTGTAAGCCAGACCGTGTATAAACCGAATACTAGGCAAACAAAAACCTGTCTTAATCGAACCTTGTATAAACCGAATCCTGGGCAAAAAAAAAATCTAACTTAATCGAGCTCTGAGTATACAAGAAACCTAGCTCTCAAAACCTAACCCTGGGTAAAACCGGACGCCTATCTTTACTGAATCCTTAGTAAACTCGAAACCTTTCAAACCCGAATCCTGAGCAAATCTGTCAAAATTAAACCCCGATTAAACTAGAAATTTGTTTAAACCAAACCCTGCGTAAACTAGAAATCTGTCTAAACAAAACCATGAGTAAACCAAAAACTGATCTAAACCAAACCCTGAGTAAACTAGAAATCTGTCTAAACCAGACCCTCATGTCTGAGTAAACCAGAAACCTGTCTTGTGATCTTGTGTACGTACACATGGTTAGGTTTAGACAGATTCCGGGTTTACTTCAGATATTTTTAAACGACTCTCAGTCTCTGCGTGGTATAATATATCTGAGGAATTTGATTGTTTAACTGATGCGTATAGTGGAACTAGTTTTATCCTTGATACTGAACACATTTTTTAATATCATATTTATTATTGAAGCTAATGAGACTGTAACACTTCCAAAATCTAAGGTTGAAGCTCTTGATGCTATGCACCTGTACTGTAATACAATTAATTTGGGCGTATATGCTGTAAAGTTTTTCGCACCTTTACAGATAAGATCTACTTCCGCAGCCCGTAGCAATTACAATAATAGTATAAGGATTATCGAACTAACAAGAAAGGATTAGAATAACAATTGGTTATTACTTTTTTTTAGCAACAGCATCCCTGGACTTGAAAGCAAATAGTAAAATTAGTGTAGTCTGTTTGGTACATACAATGATGTCTAATTTTCTACCAAGTATTATAGGTTGTATCCTTTGTGTAATAATAGAACCAGGTAAAAATATAAATTATAATAATAATCAATTGCATTTTCATCGTCTTTTCATCAGTACATTGGGGATATAAAATAAGGGGTATAAGGACAAGATTTGTGCATATGAAAGAAAAGTTTTGTACGATGAATGCCTCCAGGCACTAAAATAAGTATACTTTTCACAACTCTGTCCGTTCATTTTCATTTTGCATTTGTTTGTCATTGTAGTTGACCGTTTGTGAAACTGGTTTTCATACGATTTAAATATGATCAGTCCATATGGAATTTTAATATTAAAAATATGAGACTATTGATTCTGGTCTTTCTCTGGCAAAAATATTTCAGACTGAAGTCTAGTGGATATAGTAGATCAGTAGTAGTAATAACAATAATAGTAGTATTGTAGTATGGTAGTAGTTGTAATAAAAGTAGACAGGCTAGATAGGGATAGAATAGAGAACAAACACATAGAAATAGTAGTAGAAGATTAACTTAAAAGAGGGGCGAAAGATACCAGAGTGACATTCAAACTCACAAATCAAAAATAAACTGACAACGCCATGGCAAAAAAAGAAAAAGACAAATATACAAACAACAGTACACAAAACACAACATAGAAAAAATAAAGACTAATCATCACGAACCCTACCAAAAACTGTGGGTGATCTCAGGGTAAGCAGATCCTGCTCCACATGTGAATAAATGAATGAATTGCATTATGTATTACAGGGGTAAGTGTCCATATATCAAAGGAATTTACATCTGTTTACGATAAAAGTACAGAAACACAGGATATATTTGCTGATCTTTTAAGGTAAATTAGCTTTAAGTCCAGAATTTTGTAGTGTCACTTTTTCGTATTTTTTCATTTATTTTTGGAAAGTTTGATTTAGCCTGCTATAGCAATATACTTTCCTATGACATTGGCCTCAAACCGGTAAGAAGCCAGACTGACTTACTATCGGAAATTCAGCTCCTAGATAATGTAGTACTAATGTTTGAATACTAATTATAGGAAGATGCTTTTGAAATTTTGGGTAACTACTGTTTTGATAAGCTTACAGCTTGAATAAAAATGGACTGAATGTTGACCTACAATTCAAATGAATTCAAATTCATTTGAAAATGGGTATCACAAACACTACTTCGCGGATCTGCCGTGCGCGGAAGAAAAAATCTAAACGAGACCGCAGTTTCCACGTTTAATTTATAGAAAATTTAGAGGGCCATATATTTATTTCGAGGTGAGTCTTTTATCTTTACTTTTAATTCATGAAAATTTTATACATTCTATTTTATAAGTTTTAATACAAACATTTTTTTTATATCAATTGAATCTGGTACCATTAGATAAAAGTACTAGGTGCAAAAAGGTACACACAAAAACATATGCAACAAGGAAAGAACCATGATCCCTTTCAAAAAAGGTGCTTTGCTCCTTTTTTTAGCTCACCTGGCCTAAAAGGCCAAGTGAGCTTTTCTCATCACTTGGCGTCCGTCGTCCGTCGTAGTCCGTCGTCGTTAACTTTTACAAAAATCTTCTCCTCTGAAACTACTGAACCAAATTTAACCAAACTTGTCCACAATCATTATTGGGGTATCTAGTTTAAAAAATGTGTCCGACGACCCCGCTTGCCAACCAACATGGCCGCCATGGCTAAAAATAGAACATTGGGTAAAATGCAGTTTTTGGCTTATATCTCTGAAACTAAAGCATTTAGAGTAACTCTGACATGCGGTAAAAATGTTCATCAGAGATATATCTGCCCTGAAATTTTCAGATGAATCAGACAACCCGTTGTTGGGTTGCTGCCCCTGAATTTGTAATTTTAAGGACATTTTGCAGATTTTGGTTATTATCTTGAATATTATTATAGATAGAGATAAACTGTAAACAGCAATAATGTTCAGCAGAGTAAGATCTACAAATAAGTCAACATGACCAAAATTTTCAATTGACACCTTAAGAAGTTATTTCCCTTTATAGTAAATTTTTACCAATTTTTCGTAAATTTTTGTAATCTTTTACAAAAATCTTCTCCTATGAAACTACTTCGACAAATTTAACCATACTTGGCCACAATCATCATTGGGGTATTTAGTTTAAAAAAAATGTGTTCGATGACCCCGCTTTCTTACCAACATGGCCGCCATGGCTAAAAATAGAACATAGGGGTAAAATGCAGGTTTTGGCTTATATCTAAGCATTTAGAGCAAATCTGATATAAGTAAAAATGTATATCAGGTTGAGATCTATCTGCCCTGAAATTTTCAGACGAATCAGACAACCTGTTGTTGGTTGCTGCCTCTGAATTAGTAATTTTAAGGAAATTTTGCAGTTTTTGGTTATTATCTTGAATATTATTATAGATAAAGATAAACTGTAAACAGCAATACTGTTCAGCAAAGTAAGATCTACAAATACGTCAACAAGACTAAAATTGTCAATTGACCCCTTAAGGAGTTATTGCCCTTTAAAGTCAATTTTTAACAATTTTTCGTAAATTTTTGTAATCTTTTACAAAAATCTTTTCCTGAAACTACTGAGACAAATTCAACCGAACTTGGCCATAATCATCATTAGGGTATTTAGTTTTAAAAATATGTCCGATGACTCCGCCTACCAACCAACATGGCCGACATGGCTAAAAATAGAACATAGGGGTAAAATGCAGTTTTTGGCTTATAACTCTGAAACTAAAGCAAAAGTATAATGGTTTCATTATTTTATGCATCAATTGTAAACAAAAAAAAGGTGAGCGACACAGGATCCTTGTTAGCTTCTAGTTATTTCTAGCTGGAGGATTGTAATGAAATATTTAATCGATTTTATGATTATAAGAGTCATATTTAAACTTGTCCCTGCTCAGTTTTAATTCTACTTCAAATTTACAACCACTCCCTCTCATAATTAAATTTTTGGATCTCTATTTTCTATTGTTTTCTCAGTTTGCATGGTGAACAGATGCATGTGTATTCAATGAACTCTTAAGATCGTCTAGTGTCATTATTATCAGAGGCCTCAACATTCAGACGTAATACCGATAAACATCGAGTTTCCAGAAATTGAGGCTAAAAACATGTCTATCACCATGGCATTTAGTTCTATAAGTAAAGTGCATTGAATATCAACATCAACATACATGCAATTTAGCTGTATGTAAAAAGCTGAAGCCCGCCTGCGGGTGCGGGATTTTCTTGCTGTGTTGAAGACCCAATGGTGGCCTTGGGCTGTTTTCTGCTCTTTGGTCGGTTGGTCGGGTTGTTGTCTTTTTGACAAATTCCCCATTTTCATTCGATTGGCAGTATTATTTCCCAAAATATTTTCATTGAGCTGTTATATTTTTCACTTGTTGGTGCTTGTTTAATATATGAGGGTCTAGATAGGGTTTATAGAATAAAGAATAATGTGCAAATTGTGCAGAATAAAGGACTAAAATATAAAGAATAGAGAATAATAAGCAAAATTTATAAAGAATAGAGAAAAGTTGCTTGAAACATTAAAGAATACTGAATTGAGGGACCCCCCCCCCCCCTCCCCCCATCCTGACCCTCATATATATTTGAAACTGAATAAATGCAATTACAAAAATTATCAGTGAAATTTCAATTTGTTTGTTGATTATATAATACTTTTGAAAGAAGGAAACAAAACAATATCTGGTAGCTCTATTACAATAATACTTAAAAACACAATTAACAAAGTGTATGAAGTTATTAGACTGAATGAACTTACGGCATAGAAAAGTAAACTAGACTTAGAAACAGTTGAACAAAGAATTCAAAAAAATGTGATAGCTTAAGTTATTTGCTACCTAATTGAGAACTTGGGAGTCTCAGAATTCGATCTTAGAAACACCATGATAGCTGTAGACATAATGTGTTGACAATTAAAAGCCATTTAGAACAAATGACTCAAAACCAGTTTTACTGTGAATTGTTTTTCCTTATAATGAATTATATGAAATATATGTTATGAAAATATCTAGATTATTGATAGTCTAATTTGTGCCCTGTTTACAACTTGTGTACTGTAAAAGATACTAAAGACAGTCCACTCTGACCTTGACATTTATATTTGACCATTATGATAGTTGACTTGGTCCAATTTGTACTCGTTTCATAAAGTTTGTGCTTTAAATTTTCGGTTATCAAGCTCAGTAGGCAGTTGTATCTTGGTCTTTGGACGTGTCATATCACAAAGTCAGATCACTCTGACCTTGACTTTGTCCTTTGATACCTATGATAGTAAAACCTTGTGCAATTTGTGGCTGGCTCATATCTTTTGTACCTGGAATTTTGGTTAACCTAACATGGAATGCAGTTCAACTGTTGCATTATGGACTTGGGTTGTGTCATTTACCAAAGTCAGATAATTCTGACCTTTCTCATTTGACCCCTATGGTAGTTTAACAGTGTCTGGCTTGTGTTTGGTGCATAAGTTATGTACTGTAGCCCTTTAATTGACGAAACTTTGTACGCAGAAGCATCATACTGACCTTGACATTCAATTTCAGAATTTACAGTATGCAAACCTCACGCTTTGTTCCTGGGTCAGTATGATTCTTTCAAATTGACCTATCATTAACAATGTGTCAATTCAACACCGAGGCAATGATTATAAAAAATGAATGGCTGAAACCAAAAATCTCAAAATATCATTGCCTCAATGCTAGATTTCACAGCAGCAACTAAAATATATCACAGGATTATAAGTACCTATAAGAATCTAGTGTATATTAACTTTTTATTCCTGTCTACATATTGTCATTGTTGATTAAAGCCTTTCATATAAATTCACATTCACTACAGTTGTATTGGTTTAAGTTTGCTGTCACTTAAAATAGGAGATGTAGCATTTATTGTGAATGAAACAGCTATCAACCAGAGTTCAAAGGAGGAAGATATATAATTATGTTTTAATGCACGTTGTTTAACCAAACATAAAGTATTTATGTGCTAAAATGCTCCATCTATTTTGAACATATGTGTACATAATTGAGCACATGCAATTATGTACACTTCAACATTAGCCTTTACTTTCTAAATACAATAGAACAAACACAAGTTTGGATACTGAATGGCGCAGTGACCACCTCAAATGTTATTTTCCTAATACAATATGTATCTGATCTGGTTAAGTCCATCAAACTAAAATAATAAAGTCCATCAAAAACACAAGATACACTGCCTGACAGAATCTTGGACAATATCATGTTCTGCAACAAAATAATCTACAAAATAAATACAACACATTTAAATACTGTTCTATATAAAACTTAAATACAAATATTTTGTATACAAAAAAAACCAAACTTCTACCTATATATATGACGTGCGATTGTGTGGTCACTACCCAGTCCTCGATAACTAAAAAAACCCGTGCAATTACCTTTTATACTGACCTCCAAACCGGTTAACGGCAATAGTTATACAACTTATACAAAATCCCCATTATAAAATTAATGCGCAATCTTTCAAATTCATTCCGCATACCGCACATAAATTCATGCAATTAGGTCTTCAACAATGAGAAAAACTTTTACCATTTAGTAAGCTATAAAAGGTACTGATATGAAAAATGTGAAACAATTCAAACAAGAAAAGTAACGGCTTAATTAATAACAATGCAATTTACTAAAAACAAATATGACGGACCTGAATCAATAAAAAGTACTAAAATCACAGGCCCTTGACATGGGATGGGCACATAAAGAATTTAACAGAGCCTTGTGAGTACTGGATTATTTTAAATATACAGTTTGAGGTTGCAATAGAAAATATCAAAATTTTATATGATAAACATATGAAAAAAAGTGATGATGAGGCAATATTCAAGTAAAAAACACCGAATTGGATACATATTTGAAATAATACACATCTACAACCTATTGGAAATAATATCTACCGTTGCAAACTTTCCACAGCACTTTGATTTATTAACTTTTTTATATTTAGTATAATATATTATCTTTCTTTTCTTTTTATCTTATTCAGAAATGTGTTTCCTGATAATCTAATTGTTTCGACATTTGAACAGGTGAGAAATTAATAAATGTATTGTTTTTGATATTATTTTCATATTTGAAGGATTATTATGTGTACAGTTGGAACATATAGACACCAATCTAATTAAAATATAGATCTCTGATTTTGTTATCCTTATATTGACGAACACGCGAGTTAAACTACATCAGAATTTTAATCAGATTGATATAGACACATTCCTGATATATGTAACCGGCTAACTATATTTAAAACGAATTAAAGTCAACTTTCAAGTCCCTTTGTGACATACTTTGTTTATTTTGATTTCGATGAAAATTCATCATTGGGGAAATGGAAAATAAATTATGATTGTTACCTACTTTCGTTCGTATGCAACGTATTTGTGGATTAAAATGAAAAAATTACCCTATAAATATGGTGCATCAGAAGCGCTTTTCTGGTTTAAACTTCACAAGGAACGATAAATCCCCCAAAATTAAAAGCCAAAGATGTATAAGCATTTGTATTGACCAAAGTAAATATTGGGTATATGCTTTGTCCAAATAAAGCAGATAACGACTATTTTTTCAATACAATAAGCACTGTAAAAATAGTCTTTTGTATTTATTTCAAAATGTACACTTAAAACGGGTTATCGTCAAAATAGGATAAAGTTGAGTTGACAATACAGCCAAGTTCTCTACATCATTATGAATGGCGAAACAAAGGTAATACTTTTGTTTTTACGTATAAGTTAGAAGTTTTTTTTTATCGTATTTTTTATGAAGATAGCGTTGGATAAAAACCGCAATTTTTATACGTGTGCATGCAAAACTAATTTCTTGGTAAAGGGGTATAAATACAGCACAAACAACATTTTCCAAAAGACCAAAAAAGTGACAAAGTATATTTTAACAAAACACATTTGACTGGCAGGTCGAACAACGGATGTTCTTAAACCTTGCTGACTGCCATTGGCGATTGCCAAATAAAATGATCACCAGATGTAACAAAATGGATCTTAAATATTAATTTAATATCAAACAGAAAACAATAAACTTGCGGAAAAGATGGTATACCGCAAACAAAAGGTGCAAAAATTAGAACACCATATCCGGATTTCGACAATTAATGTCTCTTCAGTGATGTTAGGAATCGAAACGGTATTTTGAAGGCCATATAATTTAACTCAATTTAGGATAGACTCTTGAATTTTGAAGAGTCGAAATAGGATGAATGGATCATATAAACCCGAAGGCAAATATAATACAAGCCCAAACCAGGGGCGGATCCAGGATTTTGGAAAGGGGGGGCGTAGTATGTAAAATTCGTCGAGCGGAGCATGGCGAAAATTTTTTTTGGACCTTTTTTGGGCTACAAAACATAAAATAAGTGTAAAATGCACATTCTTAGTGACGGTTCCTAACGTAGGGTATATATATTTTATAGTTAAAGTGTAAGCTTGGGTTGGACATTTTTGATGCCGCATTCTCCCCATTAGTTGTCTATTATAAAATGATTGAATGGATCTAAAGCTATGTACTAATATATTTGATGTGGGATTTGTCAGTAAAAAATGGACATGGAAAATTCTCGTTTGTTGTATGGTTAGTTAGCATAACCTCAAGATTACTTGTTGTAAACATGATATACGGCTATTCAATGAAGACATTAGTTTATAATACGACCGACACGAACAAAGACAAACAAGCAATTTTTATCCAAATGTTTGGGTGAAATGTTTCACTCAACTAGGGAAGTGAGGGGTTCCAAATCAACCAACGGCTACGAATGAGTCTGAACTTGAATCAAATGACAACGAAGTTGTGAATGACGGTCGACAAATGGAGACATAAAGGCCACACCCAGCAGGCAGGTTGCAGTTGGGCCTTGAAAAAAGTATTCAGTATATCAGTTCCGCGAAACAGACATTCCGGTTAAATATAGGATTTACATGCAACCCCCCCCCCCCCCCCCCCCCAAAAAAAAAAAATACGCCCGTTTTTTATTCAACATGCTCATTTAATGCTGAATAATTCTGTTGGATTTTCTTTTCTTGTAGCAAAAAAAGGGACACGATAATTGTTTTCATTACAGATATGGCCAGAATTTTTGTTTAGTAAGGCAAAAATCAGGGTCAGAATTTTTTCTCTAAAAAATCTGACTGCCCTATCAAATCAAATGGTCCTTACCTTAGACTTTAAATATATCTAGAGCTTACTGACTGGGGATCATTATTCAGCAATGTTATTAATTGGCTGGGGCGTGTGGGGTTAAACATATTTTCGTAGGTAAATAATATTGCCGTGGAACATTTTTTTCATGAGAATGTAATAGAGTATTACTTTCTGTTGAGTGGAAATATGAAATAGAAGTCAATACGTTCTTGCTCAATCCTTTGTCGCTTTGAAGGCGTGATGCTTATCATCCTCCGCCTAGCTAAGCAATGTGTTACTGTAATTTGAATTTCAAAATGACTGAGTGACGTTTCAAACGTACTGATCAACTCCACCGTAGACTGACATAATCAATAATATATTACAGTAAATACGAGCGAAAAATATCTTTATAAGTAAAGAATTGTTGCATAAAAATTAAATACACGACCGGGAAATGGCAAAGTTCACGAAGTCTAGTCTGATTCATCATTTTAAAAAAAAAAAAAAAAAAAAAAGTTCAAGCAAAGGGGGGGCGTACGCCCTCTACGCCCCCCTCTGGATCCGCCACTGCAAACGAAAAAATATAAACAAGTCTAAATTGAAAACAACGTTCAAACCTATGATTGCGTTGGATAAAAACCGCAATTTTTATACGTGTGCATGCAAAACAAATTTCTTGGTAAAGGGGTCTAAATACAGCACAAACAACATTTTCCAAAAGACAAAAAAAAGTGACAAAGTATATTTTAACAAAACGCATTTGACTAGCGGGTCGAACAACTGATGTTCTTAAACCCTGCTGACTGCCATTGGCGATTGCCAAATAAAATGATCACCAGATGTAACAAAATGGATCTTAAATATTAATTTAATATCAAACAGAAAACAATAAACTTGCGGAAAAGATGGTATACCGCAAACAAAAGGTGCAAAAATTAGTACACCATATCCGGATTTCGACAATTAATGTTTCTTCAGTGATGTTAGGAATCGAAACGGTATTTCGAAGGCCATATAATTTATCTCAATTTAGGATAGACTCTTGAATTTTGAAGAGTCGAAATAGGATGAACGGATCATATCAATCCGAAGGCAAATATACTAGTAATGGTATGAATAATACGTTTTTTCTTCATGTGTATTTAGTAAATACACATGAACAAAAAATCAACAACAGTTTACAAAACATACCACAAACTCAAACCCACAAAAAAAGGATAACCAGTCCAATGCTCAATTATTGACCTATGTGTGATTCCATTAAAATTGTTGATGTTTCTTATCTTTATATAATTCATCATACAATATTTGATTGGTTGATTTCTATAATCGTACTTTTAAACATCACTAAACATTTTAAACATCGGTATAAAATTCTATAAAAATTTATTTGTTTGGAACTGTCCTCTCTATCCTAACTTTTTCTTCTTCTTGAATTTCGAAGGCACATACAAAATACAGGATAGCTGAAAGAAATCTTAGTCTTGTCAAAAACGAATCAAGTATTATAAAAATTACAAAAGAAAAAGAAAAACTAATAGGGTCTGCTGATGGTACAAATATAATTGGTTTGTATATATAGATTTTAATCTTTTTAATACTTTAAAATATAATTTCTATTGCGTATATCATAAACGGAATAACTCATACAGAATGTTATTTACATCTTGATTACGTTTTAAAGTCTTCTTTTATTTGTCTTTGTAAATTATTACTTTTACTGTTAAGTCTAATTTTGGTAATACCCATTTGACGTGGCTCGGTTCTTATACAGTCCGTCATTGTGTTATGGTACTATGGTAAAAATTTTGTATTCTTGTCTTTCTTGACTGCTGTACCTTTATTTTTGACATTTTTACCTATTATGTCTGTTTGTTTTGTTCACACATTGTTGTCAATATAATGGAATTTCATGCGACTGTCATACAAGTAAGTGGTTTATTTAGCTAGAAAACCATGTTTAATCCATCATTTTCTACATAAGAAAATGACTGTACCAAGTCAGGAATATGACAGTTGTTATCCATTCGTTTGATGTGTTTTATAAATAAAGGCATCAGTAGTATACCGGTGTTCAAAAGTCATAAATGGATTGGGAGAATACAAATCCGGGTTCGGTCTTTTTTGTTATTCTACTTTTTACCAAATATTAACGTATATACATATATAGTGCATAAATATGAGAAATGACGAAATAATACAAACAAGGACATTTCAACTGAAAACACATAATATAACATAATGAAATAGAATTGTAATAAATAAAATGATAAAAATATACGCACAATTGACCTTCGTCGGTGCCGATCCAAAAAAAAAAACAAAAACAAAACAAAAACAAAAAAGACTCACTTGAAATATCATAGTAGTATAATAATCGACACCTAGCGGTTGCAACATTCCAGCAGCGCCTGCATACGGAGTATATATCGCCCAATTGATACGATATTCCCGGGCTTGTATTTCCTATCATTATTTCCTTGATAAAGGGTTGCTGCTCACAAGGAAGCTATTAAACCAAGAGTTCCAAATGGTGAAGTTGAAATCATTCCTTCGTAAATTTTACGGACCCCATCACGAGTTGGTTGACCGTTATGGAATATCCGTTTCACAGATGATATCGGATATGTTCCTTATGTCGTAACTACAATCCCGTTCCCTTTTCACGAATGTAACCTACCGAATTAGACTATTTACCGGGTTTGTAATAACATGAGCAACATTTGCTTAGGGACTTTCCGTTTAGAATTTTCCTCGGAGTTCGGTATTTTTGTTATTTTACTTTTTACCGGGACGATCAAATAAAAAAAATTATGAAATCGTGTATTTGCTGATTTTCAGCTTATCATGTAGCATTAGGAGTAAGCTAGAGCAAAGACTGGTATGTGTCCGGGAAGGGTGACATATATATGTATCGTTCTAAGGGTTGTTACCTTGTAAAAACTCCACTCAGCCGGTGTTATAGTCAACTTTCCAATATATTTTCGTAAACAGCAAATTCCAAAAAAAAAGAAATCTGACAAGGTTCCTGTCTTGGGACCGTTTTATTAACATTATAAATGAATATAAGTATTATTGGTTTATCCTGTTTATACATATTCAATCGCTAAACTGAATGATAAATAGAACATTACTAGTGAATATGGGCAATGGAAATCAAACCAGGAGGGAACATCATTTTGCTACTGCAGATGACGAAAAAACAGTGGAGAAATATTTCAAGGTCAACGCGCATAATTGAATTCTCAAATTATCTTAAAAACAAAAACAACTTCAAAGTAATTCATGTCTTGATATGTAAATCATTTTTCATTTTACTCTTTGTTAACCACTATGAATTTAAGTGGAACAGGCCCATTTACTTTAAACAAAATAAGTATGTATCCGTTGAAACTAAAAAAGTAAATATGAATATAGGATTGATAATCGCGAGCAGTTTATTTGGAATGGCAACCAGCGCAACAAAGGAACACGGAAAAGCCTTCTACGACTTCTTTACATCAGCTACATGTGTCATTCTGCAGATGTTAAGATGGCTTATTTGGTAATATAACCTTTTCTTTATTATTTTACATAGATTATGAATGTAAACGTCAAGGAAGGAAATTATTTGCTACTGTTTTGACCTATTGTATACATGGTTGATTAAGAACTGTTCGGAGTTTTTGCAGAAAGATTCTAAGTTGGCTAGACTAATCATAGTCATAGTACCAACAACATTGTATAACGAAAGGGATAGATACCTATTCGACACTTATACAAAGGAGGAAATCCTGTATAATCATAGGTCGATCCAGTGTTCCTTTGGAATTTCAACCAAAGATGAAAAACTTTACATCATTAGATACCTAACTAACATACGTGTCCTTACAAACAACGTTCTGTCGCTATGTCGTCAAATGCTCCACGAAACCTCTTTCTAAATAATAAACATGAATATTATGAGCAATCAAATCTGGTTTTCAAAGTTATTGTGAAACCACATACTATGGGTGATAGAATTGGTCCTGTTTTGTTTCACAAAATAGTTTTGTCAATGTAGATACAAATATCTTATCTTATGGAGGAATAAACCATACTTTGATTTTCAATGTTGTGTTTTGTATACTGTTGTTTGTGTTTTGATGGTTTTTCGTTGTTTTTCTGCTATGTCATTGTCAGTTTGTTTTCGACTTATGGCTTTGAATATCCCCTTGGTATTTTTTGCCTCTCGTTCATATTATATCTGGATGTTTAAAGCCTTTGTACTTGGTTTGAAAGTAAAATAATAATTCATGTGTATGCAGATTGTTAGAAATGCGATTCCAAGTTAGCAAGACTTATGATAGTCATTGTACCAACTTCATTGTTTAACGAAAGGGATAGAGTAAATATACATATTCTATATTGTGTTTTTTTTAGTAAAGAGTATGACACGACTTGTGTTAAATCAAAGATTTATAAAAATAATTATGCAAGATAAGAATAAAAACCACTTTAAGACTTAGCATTTGGCGCTTTAACTGTAATATGTTCAAATAGTTTTATGAGGACTGTTCATGTAAAGTAGGATAATTGATTGTATGATAATGCTCAAAATTCAGTGTTTACATTATCTCCAAATATGGACGAAGATGGTATCAAAATGCATGCAATGTAAAGTTAGTTAACATTTTTATTTTTTTAGGTTTACGCCTGTAGGAGTAGCTAGTCTTCTTGCAAAGACAATAGCAAGCTCGGTGGATACTAGTGATGAGTTCGTGCATCTTGGCATGTTCATATCTACAGTCTTGCTAGGATTTACCTTATGGTCGTTTGCAGTTGTCCCACTGGTATATTTTTTCATATACAGAACAAATCCATTTCGTTTTCTCCTCACACTGGTTCAACCAGCTTTGATAACTTTCGCAACAAGTAGTACGTAAGTATAAGTAGCTTTATTTTAAATGCTTTTAGAGACTGTAAATAGGCCTCGATGACTTGAAGATTCATTAAAAAAATTACATATTTAGTCAACTAGTGCAATCTTTTAAACCTAAAAAAAAAGAAATGAACTCAGATTGGCCTACAGATTGATTAAACAATATACTAAGCATTTTCAGAACTAAACTTGTTTTACAACGTTGAATACGGAATCCGAATTATTTGATTACAAGAAAGCATTGTGCATTTAATCTTTACTAAAATACAGAAAAATGTTTAAAAAATACAAATGATTTGCTACTTGTTCATGTGGCGTCCCCGAGTACAGAAACCTACAAATGTGATTATCTAAAAACATGCTGAGATGTCGTCCGTTCAGATGTGTGAGACATATAAATGCGTAGCTACTTCAGGGTGGTATAGGGTATAGGAAATATGAATCTGATGTAAGGAATTGGAATAACAAAGGGTGTTGGAACATTTTAGAATGTTTGTAGGTGAATGTCTGTCCCTCTCCATACTATCCTTGTAGTGGAATTTCAAATTTCCACCTTCAACCAGGTCGATCCTTATTTCAATACATTGTTATTGTACTGAATGTGCGTGCAAAACTTTTCATTGAAACACAACAATAATTCAATCATTTATCAAAGATCTTGTAAATTATTTAAGATGACTGCTACATTAAAAGAGAGGCGAAAGATACCATAGGGACATTCAAACTCACAAGTAGAAAATAGACTGATAACGCCATGGCTAAAAAAGAAAAACAGACAAACAGACAAACAGTAATACACAAAACACAACATTAAAAACTAAAGACTGAGCAACACGAACCCCACCAAAATCTGGTGGTGTTATATCATGTTAAAGTTTAAACTGTCTATCAACAACAAGAAAACAGATGAAAAAGGTGATGTATTTTTCTCTTTCTGAAGAGCCATTGCCATGCCAGAAACACTATACAGTTTGGAAGAGATTAACAAGCTAGACAAAAGAATAACCAGATGTGTCGTACCTTTGTCAACCTCAATAGGTAGGAGTGGCACATGTCTTTATATCACCATATCATGTTTGTTTGTTGTTCAATTGGTCGGATTGGAACTAACATTTACAAGACTTGTCCTAGTATGGTAAGTTTTATATTAAGTTATAAAAAAAAATACTCAGCACCGACACCCATCCAGTTATATTCTCTTTTTGAGTGTATTTTTACCACCTTTTGACAGAGCTTATAAATAGTGTTTGACATTAGATCGCTATTTGCCCTTAATATATGTATATGACTAACCATCAACTGCCATTAGTAATAATCCAATAATATCGGGTATCAGTGATCGAACTGAATTTTGCAATTGAATTAATTTGTGTTCCCCACTGACTGAAATGAGACGAATATTAATCAGGAAGAGAACATATTTTGTTGCAATACCGGTATTGTTAAAAACTATCAATGAATTGTTATAACCATGATTACTGTATCTGAAGAAAATTTCATTATTGAAATATTGTGATAAAGTAAAAATATTTGAGAATTTGATGAAATCAAATGAATGGATCTTTATGTTTGAAAATTTCTTTATTTAAAGTATTTTATCAACGATATCAGCATTAGCTAACCCACCTGTAACTGGTGCCAGTCTAGTCAATATAATAATTATACTAACAGCATTAGATATACCACCGGAGGCTGCTTCCTTGTTATATGCATTTGATTGGATATTGTAAGTACAAAAAAAAGTATATCATACTTATATGAAAATAGAGATATGCGATATGATTGCAATTGAGAATACTATCTAGCACTGACAAATGGAAAGGGTATAGATGACTACAAGTCGCCATACCGTCTTCAACAATGAATGCCGTATAGTAGATTATAAAAGACTCCGGCATGACATTATGTGAAACTATTAAATAGTGAAACTAACCGTCTGATTTATGCTAAAACGGAAAAAAAGTATGACAGACAGCAACTGAAGACAGCCAATGGGTTACAGGCTCCTGACATTGGACAGGCACATATAAATGTGACAGGATTAAGTATTTGTGTGAGGACCTAACCGTCCTAGTGTTGTTCTTTATTCATTATTACAGAATAAATACAATTTTGAGATAGCTATAGATAAACCAACTTCAGAAGGAAATCATCCTAAAGAACCTAGTTTTTTTTTTTAAATTGACCACTTCCAAAATGATGTTATATAATGGGGACGTCAATATTTGGTTCTGATTGGTATATTATCATTCGCTCGTAATGCAATTTGATTTTAATTTCAAAATTGGTATATTCAGGACTATATTGACACAAAATAAAACGGAAACAAAACAAACTTCACAATCGTGATACAGACAAATTTTTTAACTTAAGTCTTGTTTATGCACAGTCATTTCATATATGTAGCCGAACATACAAAACTTTCTGTGTAGTAAATTTCCGATAGATAGGTTTTTAACTCAGTAGCAAAGTAATGATATTATTAATTATTTGAAACGATCCTATTATGGTCAAAATAAATGAGAAGAAATTAGCGGTTGGAAATTTGACTATATATTTAAGTAACGTTTATTTTTGGTCCTCAGTACTCTTCAACTTCGTACTTTATTTGGCCTTTTTAACTTTTTTTATTTCGAGCGTCACTGATGACTCTTTTGTAGACAAAACGCACGTCTGGCGCAAAAACAAAATTTCAATCCTGGTATCTATAATGAGTTTATTTATGATGAAATAAGTTCACATGTTATTGAATGTTAAAGTAAAATGCTCATGTCCTCGGTGTATAAAATTGTAATTTTCTTTTCGAAATATATGTTTAATATCTTCATATATCTAATTAATACTAATACTATATATATTGATACATTTTATTTTGTAGAGACAGATGCAGATCAATTACCAATTTATTTTCACACGCTCTTTGTGTAGTTGTCACTTATGAACTGAGTAAATCTGCCTTGTCTGAAAATGCTGAAGAAAACCTATAAGCCGCACAATTATATTATATATTAAACAGTGCGATCACAGTTTGAACTTTTGCCTTAGATAATAAAAATAAAAAATTATGATAAGACTCCAAACAATCTTCTATCGAAAAACATATATGATTTGTGACTGAAACAGACGAAACATTGTATTATATAAACGACAAGAAGAAAGCATGCCAGTATAATTATAATAAACAAAGTTAATATTGAGTTATAATTTGTGTTTTTTGCTGGACCCGTATAGGTGTAATTTGCAAATAAAATTATTACATTATAAGCGAGATAATAAAGTCAAAGTCCAACAAATTTAGAAAATCACTGATCGTCTTTTGAAACGGATCTTCACGGCCTGAATATGCTTGAAATAACTGTTATTGGACTTCAAGAAAAGCAAGCAACAGTCAATCGACGTTCGAAAATGCCACCCTTAGTGTTTATCTTTGTTTTGCTTTCGATTGCTGGAAAGTTCTTATGAACTTATATACCAAAATGAAAGTGATCAGAATAACGGATAAGATTGAAATAGCTGTGAGCATGATTTTAAATCACATTTCACTCTTCCATTAACATAGTGGTTATAATATGAGGCGCGGATTTTAGTTAAAATTATAGTATTTAAGAAGCTCCTTGCCATTTTCGCGACCTCCATAACTCGATTTTAGGACTTCCATAATTCATTGGGGGACCCCCTAAGATATTTAAGGCGCTCCATAGTACATAATATGTTTTCAGATAATGACTAATAGGAGTAACTCCATGCATCATATGAAAAAAAAAACTAAAAAAAGTTATGTTGCATCATTTAAGTCACTAGATCACTGAATTCATTTCTTTAAAATTTAATTTTGATATTTTTTTCAATTTATATATACACTTTCAAAGAATTTATTCTACATCTTATGCAACCCGAAAAATAATTAAAAGAACATAAAGTTGTCGTTTTGTCCGTCCCTCGGTGTGCAAAACAAATGCTCTCCTTTCATTGATTAGAACGAAATTGATACACTCGGAAGACATCTGGAATTGGCAGCATAAATAAAGGCAACAGTAGTATGCCGCTTTTCGAATGTCATAAATCGATTGAGAGAAAACAAATCCGGGTTACAAACTAAAACCAAGATAATCACATCAACAATAAGGGGAAAACAACGGAACAGAAACACTGAAGTGCAACAAAAACAAACGCCAACATTCATAGAAACGGACTTATTGATAACAACTGCCATATTCCTGACTTGGTACGGGACATTTTAAGAAAAAATTGTGGGTTAAAGCTGGTTTTATGGCTAGCCAAATCCCCCGCTTATATGGCAATGTAAACAAATATCGCTAAAATGACAACACTGCGTGACAGGAATACAGTAAAAATAAAGCAAAAACACTCAGCACAGAGAAATACATAAATAAATAATATAATAGTTCATTACAACATGTAAACCGCAGAATAACAACGGACATCTTCCATTCACGACAGCTCAGGACACCACAGTATAACCTACTAGTTTTGTTTTGTGGTGAAAAGGTAAAAATTTAAGATCACTGCATGTTACTAAAAATTATTTTGGTAAAAATGGTTACTGGAAGGTAACTGTAGTTTCTTTTGTTCGTTAAAAATGTAACTTTTATAGACGAAAGATGGAGAGAAGGAGAAGACCCCAATAGATGTACATACCAAACGTCAAAGGCCACAGTTGCTAAAAATAAACTTAAAATATGGAAAAAAAAGTTGTAATTTGTTGGTTCTGTGGAATTTCTCAGGATACCCTATTTTGATTTTAGTAAAACTTAAACAATATAAAAGTAAGAAGAAAGGTATAATCACAAAAATACTGAACTCCGAGGAAAATTCAAAAAGGAAAGTCCCTAATCAAATGGCAAAATCAAAAGCTCAAACACATCAAACGAATGGATAACAACTGTCATATTCCTGACTTGGTACAGGCATTTTCTTCTGTAGAAAATGGTGGATTGAACCTGTTTTTATAGCAAGCTAAACCTCTCACTTGTATGACAGTCGCATCAAATTCCATTATATTGACAACGATGCGTGAACAAAACAAACAGACACAATAGGGGAACAGCAGTCAACATTGTGTTATCATCTTAATCACTATAAAAACAAACAAATGTAACGAAGAAGCACAAAAAGGATACATCAAATTTAACATCCTCATTTTGCTTTTTTATTATTCGATTTTATTTATCTATGTAAAATCCACCCATATATAATGGAAGGTTTTAAGTACTGGCGTAAAATCGCGCGTTTGAAATTCGCACAGGTAGACATAAAATAATGTTTTCGTTCAAAGTATGACGGGATACATAAGTACAGAGTCACGTAAAATGGATATCACAAAAAAACAGACTTAATAGTGCAATGAGACTACTCTCCATCAAATGATGTTGAAGGTTAATAACTGTATGTCACTTTGCGGCTTTCAACAATAAGCAAAACCCGTACCGCTTAGTCAGCTATAAAAGGCCCAGAAATGACAAATGTAAAGCATTTACGAAAGTTGTTTTTTTTTTAAAGTAGTACACTAAATCAAGTACTACCAAGATAGCACTCTCTGGTATCTATACTGTACATAACTGCAAAACATGAACACTTACAATTTATTACACACAAAAATGTCAAAACAATACATTAATCTTATAGATCCTAATTATACATACACGGTAATACTATATATATTTTTCTTCTAGAACGTAAGTTTAAGAATCTTTTATAATATAAGTGAAGGTGCTATCTTTAGTCAAATTCAATATACAGAGAACCACAATTTACCAAGGACGTACGAACCGCGGTATAATTGTATTAATGTATATACCATGTACGGGAATATGTCAGACCCCTTCTAGGATTTGCATATTTGGAAAAGTCAGATATGTATATCCAAGAGTATTTGATACTTACAGTTCTCATGTATAAACAACAAACACACCTACTTACCAAATCATTTAATATTTATAAACAAAGCAGGCTAAGTTACAAATAACAGAAAAATAAGTCCACAAAATTTTTTCTTCTCACTATAAATTAACCACAAGATAATTAAGATAATTAAAATACACACCATAGTTCAGATTTAAATATAAAGATTAAATTTAAGAAAAAAAAAAAAACTCACAATTTACTATAATATGAATATATAATACAGGTTAATTCCTAAATAATAATAAATTTTAAAACATTTATTTGAAATGTTTTTATATAAGGTAATCTGGCGCAATACCCGCAAGGGTAGTCGCCATTAAACTCTATTTAGTAGTAGTAAACTCTGTTTAGTAGTAGAATGTAAAGCATTATGTAATAAACAATGAACGAAAAACAAGTAAGATTTACAGCAACAAACGACAACCACTGAATTACAGGCTCCTGACTTGGGACAGGCACAGAATGTGGTGAGGTGAAAACAGGTTTGCTGACGCCAAACCCTCCGTCTAACCTGAGACAGTGGTGTAACAGTACAACTAAAAACCAAACTAATATCAAAGCTCTGCGAGTGCTGTGGGCAGTTAATAGAAAACCAAGGCAAAAGTAATGATGAATATTATGGAAGAGTTGGTTTAGTTATTCATCACAGCTTAGAATAGCATGGTTTGTAAGGAACAGCTTGAAACTACCACAGAGGTCAAACCCTGAAAAGTTAGGGGCAAGTCTGGACACAGCTCTGAATTCGGATTGCGATTAAAAATTTGACACAGCATAGGTATCTTACACAAAATGAACGTGGTTAAAGAACTGAAAAATTCAACATTTACCTATTATGGTCAAATATTCAAAATTTAAATACACGATTAGATTCGACCTATCTAAGTACCCTAAAAGTTTAGTTTTTATTCAAATCAAGCAATGTTTTACTTTTGCCTTTGGACAACAATTTGGACGGAAAATCGAAAAATCTTAATATTTGACTAGAATCAGCATATTCAACTTTTGTTGAAATCAAACCAAGTTTAATTTTGGATCCTAATTTGGACAACTTAAAAACGGGGACTAATAATTACAAAAAAATCTAAACACACGGTTAGTTTCGGCATAATAAAGAACCTCATTGAGATTGGTCAAGAAATAAGCATCTATAAAATGCTTGTTATTGACCCCTTTTTTGCATAAACGGTTAGGGCCATAACCCCCAAAATCAATCCCAACCTTCCTTTTTGTGGTATGGAACCTTTTGCTACAATTCTATATAGTTACATACGCTTATACTCAAATAAATGTCTGGAATGCAAATGTCTTCGGAAGACAACGACGACATCACCATACCATTATACGGTCGCATTTGCGGTCGTATAAAAATATCAAATTTCAACATTATTACCTTCTTTCATTTGGTATTAACATTAAAGAAAACGAAGAAAAACTACCGTCATTAAACTGGATACCAAAACTTCACAAAACTCCGTATAAAGAACGATACATAGCTGGATCATCAAGATGTTCGACTAAACATCTTTATTAAGTGTTGACTACTATTCTTTCTACAATAAAAGATGGCCTTCAAAAATATAGTGGTGTCAATCAGATGTGGATTCTCAAAAACTCTAAAGATCTACTGCTAAATCTCAGATCACTATCTCTGCAATTTTGCAGCAACATTAAGACCTTTGATTTTTCTATGCTTTGCACTACTATTCCCCATGCTCAATTGAAAAAAGTAAAATCACAAAAATACTGAACTCGGAGGAAAATTTAAAAGATCGACTTCACCATCTCATTAAACAGAGCTTTTTTCTATAAAAATGGGAATCGTAGATATAAATGTCTTGTTTTGAGTTATAATAATTCTTATTTTGTGAAGAACCACACTTATTCTATCAGAAAATACAGTGAAAATGATATTATCAAAATGATGGAATTTTTAATCGTATATAATTAAATATATTTGTTGAGTTTGGAGGATTGCTATTTCAACAGACAGTCGGTATTCCAATGGGTACTAATTGTGCACCCCTTCTGGCCGACTTGGTTTTGTACTCATATGAAGCAGAATATATTCAGAACCTTCTAAAAGACAAAAAGAATAAAATGCTCCACTGGGCGCAGCTTGATACGACCGCAGAGGTCGAACCCTGAACATTTGGGGCAAGTATGGACACAACATTCAAGCTTGATACAGCTCTGAATTTGGATTGTGATTAAATATTTGACACAGCATAGGTTTCTGACACAGACTGAATGTGGTCTAAGAACTTAAAATTTTTTTATTTACCTATTATGGTCCAATATCCAAAATCTAAATACATGGTTAGATTCAGCATATCAAAGAATCCAAAGAATTCAATTTTTGATGAAATCAAACAAAGTTTAATTTTGGACCCTTTTGACCTCAATGTGGACCAATTTGATAACGGGGCCCTAAAATCAAAATACATGGTTAGATTCAGCATATCAAAGAACCCCATATATTCAATTTTTGTTGAAATCAAACAAAAAAAGTTTAATTTTGGAGCCCAACTTGGACCAACTTGAAAACTGGACCCAAAATCAAAAATCTAAACACATGTTTAGATTCAGCATATCAAAGAACCCCAAGAATTCATTTTTTTGTTAAAATCAAACTAAGTTTAATTTTGGACCCTTTGGACCTTAATGTAGACCAATTTAAAAAACGGGACCCAAAACTAAAAATCTAAATACACGGTTAGATTTGGCATATCAAAGAACCCCAATAATTCAATTTTTGATGAAATAAAACAAATTTTAATTTTGGACCCTTTTGACCTCAATATGAACCAATTTGATAGCGGAGCCCACAAATAAAAAATTTAAATACATGGTTAGATTCAGCATATCAAAGAACCCCATATATTTAATTTTTGTTGAAATCAAACAAAGTTTAATTTTGGACCCCAATTTGGACCAACTTGAAAACTGGGCCCAAAATCAAAAATCTAAATACATGTTTAGATTCAGCATATCAAAGAACCCCATATATTCAATTTTTGTTAAAATCAAACTAAGTTTAGTTTTGGACCCTTTGGACCTCAATGTGGACCAATTTGATAACGGGGCCCAAAAATCAAAATACATGGTTAGATTCAGCATATCAAAGAACCCCATATATTCAATTTTTGTTGAAATCAAACAAAGTTTAATTTTGGACCCCAACTTGGACCAACTTGAAAACTGGACCCATAATAAAAAATCTAAACACATGTTTAGATTCAGCATATCAAAGAACCCCAAGAATTCAATTTTTGTTAAAATCAAACTAAGTTTAATTTTGGACCCTTTGGACCTTAATGTAGACCAATTTAAATAAAATGCTTCGCTGGGGCGCAGCTTGATACGACCGCAGAGGTCGAACCCTGAACAGTTGGGGCAAGTATGGACACAACATTCAAGCTTGATACAGCTCTGAATTTGGATTGTTATTAAATATTTGACACAGCATAGGTTTCTGACACAGAAAGAATGTGGTCTAAGAACTTGAATTTTTTTAATTTACCTATTATGGTCCAATGTCCAAAATCAAAATACATGGTTAGATTCAGCATATCAAAGAACCCCATATATTCAATTTTTGTTAAAATCAAACAAAGTTTAATTTTGGACCCCAACTTGGACAAACTTGAAAACTGGGCCCATAATCAAAAATCTAAACACATGTTTAGATTCAGCATATCAAAGAACCCCAAGAATTCAATTTTTTCTAAAATCAAACTAAGTTTAATTTTGGACCCTTTGGACCTTAATGTAGACCAATTTAAAAAACGGGACTTACAGTTAAAAATCTAAATACACGATTAGATTTGGAATATCAAAGAACCCCAATAATTCAATTTTTGATGAAATCAAACAAAGTTTAATTTTGGACCCTTTTGACCTCAATATGAACCAATTTGATAGCGGGGCCCACAAATAAAAAAACTAAATTCATGGTTAGATTCAGCATATCAAAGAACCCCATATATTCAATTTTTGTTGAAATAAAAAAAAGTTTAATTTTGGACCCCAACTTAGCCAAATTGAAAACTGGGCCCATAATCAAAAATCTAAACACATGTTTAGATTCAGCATATCAAAGAACCCCAAGAATTCAATTTTTGTTAAAATCAAACTAAGTTTAATTTTGGACCCTTTGGACCTCAATGAAGACCAATTTAAAAAACGGGACCCAAATTAAAAATCTAAAAACACGGTTAGATTTGGCATATCAAAGAACCCCAATAATTCAATTTTCGATGAAATCAAACAAAGTTTAATTTTGGACCCTTTTGACCTCAATATGAACCAATTTGATAGCGGGGCCTACAAATAAAAAATCTAAATACATGGTTAGATTCAGCATATCAAAGACCCTCATATATTCAATTTTTGTTGAAATCAAACAAAGTTTAATTTTGGACCCCAATTTGGACCAACTTGAAAACTGGGCCCTAATCAAAAATCTAAATACATGTTTAGATTCAGCATATCAAAGAACCCCATATATTCAATTTTTGTTGAAATCAAACAAAGTTTAAATACTGGACCCTATCTTGGACCAACTTGAAAACTGGGCCCATAATCAAAAATCTAAACACATGTTTAGATTCAGCAAATCAAAGAACCCCAAGAATTCAATTTTTGTCAAAATCAAACTAAGTTTAATTTTGGACCCTTTGGACCTCAATGTAGACCAATTTAAAAAACAGGACCCAAAATTAAAAACCTAAATACACGGTTAGATTTGGAATATCAAAGAACCCCAATAATTCAATTTTAGATGAAATCAAACAAAGTTTAATTTTGGACCCTTTTGACCTCAATATGAACCAATTAGATAACGGGGTCCACAAATAAAAAATCTAAATACATGGTTAGATTCAGCATATCAAAGAACCCCATATATTCAATTTTTGTTGAAATCAAACAAAGTTTAATTTTGGACCCCAATTTGGACCAACTTGAAAACTGGGCCAAAAATCAAAAATCTAAATACATGTTTAGATTCAGCATATCAAAGAACCTCATATATTCAATTTTTGCTAAAATCAAACAAAGTTTAATTTTGGACCCTTTGGACATTAATGTAGACCAATTTGAAAACTGGACCCAAAATTAAAAATCTAAATACACTGTTAGATTCGGCATAACAAATAAATAAATGTGATCAAAGATTTTACAAATCTAATGCGCCATACTGTGCAATTAAAGATTACTTCTTGAAATTTTTCAATATTTGAAATTTGAAAAAAAAATAATATTTGAAGAATAATTCTTTTTAATTTCTGAAATCTGAAATGAGAAAAAAATGGCCCCCCACAATTTCTTTTTATCCCCCCCCCCCTTTTTCCCCCAAAAAAAATCTTTCCCTCAAGATATGGTCATAATCTCAATTCAAATTTCCAATGGAGTTGGCAACCATAATTACCCATTTAAATTTACCATAGTGCTAACTTAATCTATTTTATAATAGAATTAATAAAAATATAGTGTCTAATCTTTCATATGGATTTTTTTGTAAAAAAAAAAGATGAAAACATTTGCAGATATTTTTACTGGTCTTCCTTTATAAATATGCATTTCTTTAAACATAATTTAAAAGCAGTGTAAGGGAAGTAACCAAAACGTTGTATTTGGATTACCTCCCTTACACTGTTTTAGATTATCTTTATTGTTCATTAACCATTACTTTATACATAATTTAAAAGCAGTGTAAGGGAGATAATTTCAATGATGTATTTGATTTATCTCCCTTACACTGCTTTAAATTATGTTTTGTACTAAAGTATTTGTCCATTAACCAGGACAACCTTGTTTTTCCCCCTTTTTTGCCCCTAATTCCTAAACGGTTTGAGCAATAACCCCCCAAAGCAAATCCTAACCATCCCTTTGTGGTATGGAAACTTGTAGTATAATTTCAGAGAGATCCATACACCGTTCCACAGTTATTGTCTGGAAATTAGAAAATGCTCATTTTTGGCCCCTTTTTGGCCCCTAATTCCTTAACTGTTGGTACCATAACCCCCAAAATCAATCCCAACCTTCCTTTTGTGGTATTTAACCTTATGGTCAAATTTCAAAAAGATCCATTCACTTAAACTAAAGTTAGAGTGCGAAAACCAAAATGTATTCGGACGACGACGCCGGACGACGACGACGACGACGACGACGCCGGACGACGACGACGACGACGACGCCAACGTCATACCAATATACGACCACAAAATTTTTTTGCGGTCGTATAAAAACGGGACCCAAAATTAAAAATTTAAATACACGGTTAGATTTGGCATATCAAAGAACCCCAATAATTCAATTTTTGATGAAATAAAACAAAGTTTAATTTCGGACCCTTTTGACCTCACTATGAACCAATTTGATAGCAAAATAAAAAATCTAAATACATGGTTAGATTCAGCATATCAAAGAACCCCATATATTCAATTTTTGTTGAAATCAAACAAACTTTAATTTTGGACCCATATTTGGACCAACTTGAAAACTGGGCCCGAAATCAAAAATCTAAATACATGTTTAGATTCAGCATATCAAAGAACCCCATATATTCAATTTTTGTTAAAATCAAACTAAGTTTAATTTTGGACCCTTTGGACCTTAATGTAGACCAATTTGAAAACTGGACACAAAATTAAAAATATAAATACACGGTCAGATTTGGCATAACAAATAAATAAATGTGGTCAAAGATTTTACAAATCTAATGCGCCATACTGTGCAATTAAAGATTACTTCTTGAAATTTTTCAATATTTGAAATTTGAAAAAAAAATAATATTTGAAGAATAAATCTTTTTAATTTCTGAAATCTGAAATGAGAAAAAATTGACCCCCCACAATTTCTTTTTACCACCCCCCCCCCCCCCCTCCCCCCTCAATTCTTTCCCTCAAGATATGGTCATAATCTCAATTCAAATTTCCAATGGAATTGCAACCATGATTACCCATTTTAAATTTACCATAGTGCTAACTTAATTTATTTCATAATAGAATTTAAAATATGGTGTCAAATCTTTCATATGGATTTTTTTGTAAAAAAAAAAAAAGATGCAACATTTGCAGATATTTTTACTGGTCTTCCTTTATAAATATGCATTTCTTTAAACATAATTTAAAAGCAGTGTAAGGGAAGTAATCAAAGCGTTGTATGTGGATTACCTCCCTTACACTGTTTTAAATTGTCTTAATTGTTCATTAACCATTACTTTATACATAGTTTAAAAGCAGTGTAAGGGAGGTAATTCAAATGATGTATTTGATTTATCTCCCTTACACTGCTTAAAAATTATGTTTTGTACTAAAGTATTTGTCCATATAAAAATGCTTGTTTTTTGCCCCTTTTATGGCCCCTAATTCCTAAAATTTTGAGGCAATTACCCCCAAAATCAATCCCAGCATTTCCTTTGTGATAAAGAACCTTGTGGTACAATGTCAGAGAGATCCATACACTAACACACAAGTTATGTCTGGAAGTTACAAAAATGCTTATTTTTGGCCCCTTTTTGGCCCCTAATTCCTTAACTGTTGGTACCATAACCCCCAAAATCAATCCCAACCTTCCTTTTGTGGTATTGAACCTTATGTTAAAATTTCATAGAGATCCATTAACTTAAACTAAAGTTAGAGTGCGAAAACCAGTGTGTCTTCGGACGACGACGCCGGACGACGACGACGACGACGACGACGCCAACGTCATACCAATATACGATCGCAAAAATTTTTTTGCGGTCGTATAAAAAGCACATTGAAAAATTCTTTAATTTTACTTTCAGATGTATTGATGATGTCCTATCACTGAATAACCAATATTTCATCAGTACTTGCATCTCATATTTCCCAGTGAACTTGAAATTAAGGATACTACTGATACAAGAAGGACTGCTTCGTACCTTGATCTTTTCCTCAAATATTGACACAGATGGACGACTTCACACTAAAATCTATGACAAACGGGATGATTTCAACTTCCCAATTATCAATTGCCCATTTCTCAGCAGTAACATACCTTCTGCTCCTTCGTACGATCCTAAAACACTTCATATTATAAAGCAAAATAAATGAAAAGTTACACAGAAAGCCATTTTCATCGACATAAGCGCGCAGTAGTTGCATATATATTGAGGACAGAATATATGTGATACAGGTAACTGACAAAGGGTGTAATTGATCAGCAGAGCAAGGGCTATCTCCTGCAGAATTTTCAGGAAAATGGGCTACTCATTTTGGAGTTATTTCCCTTTAACTTTTTGCAAGTTTCACTGATTTTGTTTATGATCTTGAAAACTATTACAAATAGAAAGATATTTTACCAGTACTATCCGATCAACTAATAAATCAAATTTTTCAATCTTCAATTGACAACTTATAGGAATTATTGCCTTAAATGAAGATTTCTATCCTTTTTGCATTTTTTTAGGAAACTATAATTGATAGAGTGAATATTTCTATAGTAAAAAAGTTTAACAAAATATGATTACAAATAAGTTAACATGGGAGAATCATCAGTTAACCCAATCACAATTAGATCTACAAATAAGTCAACAAGCAGAGATTGTAAAACTGTCTTCTATTAGGAGTTATTGCCCCTGAATTACCATTTTACACATTTTACACAGTATTTGAGGAAAAATAACCTGCTTCGCCAAGCGCAGCTGGATACGACCGCAGAGGTCCAACCCTGAACAGCTGGGGCAAAAATGGACACAATATTCAAGCTTGATACAGGTCTGAATTTGGATTGTAATTAAATATTTGACACATTATAGGTTTCTGACACAGAATAAATGTAGTCAAAGAACTTGAAATTGGTTATATGATTTGAATTTATATTCAATTGAAGATTTCTTGCTTTTGTGCAATACACTGTGCTGTTGCACAATACTTAGTAAATCTGTTTTCAGACTAAATACAAAGAATAAGCAAAATAAATTGTGACCCCCAATTTTTTTCTTTGGAAAATTGACAATTTCTTAAATCTTGAGGAAAAAAAATTGACCCCCCAATTTTTTTTTAACCCCCCTCTAAAAACAATAATATTTGAAGAGAATTTTCTTTTGAGGAAAAAAATTGCCCCCCCCCCCCCCCCCGAAAAAAAAAAAATTCTTTACCCCCCCTTTCCAAAAAAAATTATTTTGAAGAAATTTTCTTTTTGTAAAATGTGGTACAAATTAAGAGACATCCATACACTTAAACACAAGTTATTGTCTGAAAACTAGAAATATGCTTGTTTTAGACCCTATTTTGCCCCTAATTCCTGAACGGTTTCGGCAATTACCCCCATAATGAATCCCAACCTTCTACTTGTGGTATTGAACCTTGTGGTACAATTTCAGAGCAATCAAAATACTAATACACAAGTTATTGTCCTGAAACTAGAAAAATGCTTGTTTTTGGCGATTTGTTGGCCCCTAATTCCTAAACGGTTGGGACCATCACCCCCAAAAACCAATCCAAACCTTCCTTTTTGTGGTATTGAACCTTTTGGTTAAATTTCACAGAGATTAATACACTTAAACTAAAGTTAGTGTCCGGAAACCAAATGTCTACGGACGACGCTAACGCCAACGACGACCGACGACGACATGATACCAATATACGACCGCAAAATTGTTTTGCGGTCGTATAAAAATGACATCTTTTCCCAAGAATTCAGGCTCTTTTGAAGCCACGTGTTATTCATAAATAAAATTTAACCACCCCTTTGATATCAACTCTTTTTCGATCTCATTAGCATCTGTACGAGAACATCGCCATGACAAGGTTCAGGATTACACCAGCACCCTAGTGTCTTACTTCGTAGTTCTTCTATTGAGTCTAATAAAGTTTTTCCATCGTATAATTTTGTATCTGTCATTATATATTCCCTATACATATCTATACACTTGTCCCTCCCATGTTTTTTTGCCTGGAATGGGTTTTGCCACTTGCTACCCACAGCTCCAGGGACATAATGAGTCATATTTCTGCCGATGTATATGTTAGTTGGGTCTGTCAACCAGTGTTCAAGGTCCTTGTATCCCTTATGATTCAATGATTGCTTCTTGACGGATATAACTCGTGTTGGCCGAGGTCTTTCAGTCTGAGTTCGGATAGTACTAGTCTCCTCTTTTCCATTGTCCTTGTTATCTGCTTGTATTTGTTTAACATTGTCTTCGGTCGGAGCACAGTGAGCCATTATTCAGAAATGTCTAAAATAAAAAACGGAATTGATATATATGTTATAGATAGGTCAACCGGGCTAGACAAATAAAAATGGATTATCATAAACGTATAATGCTATCATTTTTCTGGACTGGTCTTGATTGGGTACGTTTGGGAGGTAAAACAGGATTTCACTTGCATGTAATTAATTTGAAAAAAGGATATTTTGCTCTTAGCTTTTCGTTGTTATATTGTCCTAAATCAAAAAGTTAAGAAACGACCCTTAAAATATGCAGTCTAATTAAAATATAGACCTCTGATTTCGTTGTACTACAGTTATACTACATATGATCTCATATGTAGTATAACGAAATCAGAGGTCTATATTTGAATTAGACTGTAAAATATGTTTTTTATAATTGATAAACGTATATTGATATTATGGCAATTAATTTAGTCAATAAATTAATAAATTAAACTTTTCTTTTTAAATCTTTTTTCTTTTATTTAGGGAGTTCATATTACTTTAACAAAAACTAATGAGTTCATGCATCAGTTGTAAGTTTTTCTTTATTGCAGAATTATGGAGAATTCTTTTGAAATTGCACCAGTGTCTTTAAGCAATGTTCCTGGTGCTTCTTGAAGGACATTGCTGAAGGTTTCTATAGCAGCAGGATCAGTACTATGGCTTGTTTTCAGTAATTTTTAACAACCTTAAATCTCGGTAATATCTAATTGTCTTCATTGTGTTACTTGTACGTGCATTTATACAGATCTACGAGGTTTTAAAATAAAATGTTATTGGACGTTTTATAATTCCGTTAAAAAATCTAAGAGGGAGATATTCAGTGTACGTGCCTGTCCAAAACCAGGAACCTCGCCATGCAGTGGTTGTTTTAAATATATATTAATGTGTGTTGCGTTCTTCGTGTGTGTTCATTACTGATCTGTGATAGTCTTTTTCAAAGTAACATAAAAAGGAAGATGTGGTATGATTTTCCTTTCTAGACAAGAGACGATTTAAAAGAGAAACAAAAGATAATACTGTAGATTCATTATTATTCGTTGGATACCAATTTTCGTGGATTTCGTGGGTACAAGTGAACCACGAAATGAAATTTTCAACGAATGACATATATTGTATAGGCTTGTACGCAGACTTTCGGTAAAACCACGAAATTAAATATCCACGAACATGCCAATTTTCCCTAATCCACGAAAATTGGTACTCACGAAATTAAATGAATCCACAGTAAAGGGACTTATATACTAACTCATAAGTCGAAATCAAACTGAAAATGACATGGCAAAAAAACTTAAAACGAATAAAAAACAAACAACAGTATACAAAACAAAAGATAGAAAGCTAAAGACTGAGCAATACAAACCAAACCAACAGAAGGGTAAACAAGCTCCAAATGTAGAACCCGTCGTGTAACTCTTTTAATTTGTCTCATTTATGTTTAACCAACATTCATCTACTCTATAGTCAATTTTGAGGTCAAATAAAAAAAATCTAATATGTTTAGTTGATATAGCTGATAGATAAGTATCCGCTTATCATAGAATTCTTTCACTTTTTGCTTCGTTCTGCCCCAGTCAAGCTATTCCGATTATTTTTTTCTGGTTATCTTATATATTTAGAATAATTTACATAGAGTTTCGAGAATTCGAGTGACACGAGAAACTGAATCTTATTGTGGCTAAGTTGAATAAATGGAATTCTTATATGACGTTTAAATTATGGCGATCTAGCCCAGTCTTTGCTTCGGTATGCGATCAAGAAGCCAGGATCAGATAAGAAAAAAACCTAGTAAATCAAAACATCTCAATATAAATTTACATCATGGTCCAATTTGATCATTTTTTGTTCTAAGTTTTCTACCGAAAACGGACGCAAACTGATGGCAAAAGGTAACACTAGCCCTTTGGATCAGCTGAGCTGGAAGAAAATATCTAGCGGTCAACAGTAGACCTTTAACAAATAAGTTATGTCATGTATTCAACTATAGGTCTATTCTAATTGGAAATATGCTGGTTTATTACAGCAAAATGCATTGAGTGTGTAGGTAAAGGTAATATCTTTGGCTAGCTTGGTTGCTAGCTGAACCGTGAAGTCATTATTAGGTAAGGTATACTACCCTCCTTTCGGAGTAGTCTAGTCCTACAGATAGATAGATCGGTTATCTGTCAGACTAGTCTACTCTTAAAGGAGGGTAGTATACCTAGCCTAATAATGACTTCACAGTTCAGCTAGCAAGCAAGCTAGTCGAAAGATATTACCTTTACCTACACACTCAATGCATTTTGCTGTAATAGCATATGTACAAGTCATGTCTTCTTTGACTGTCCATGACGTTAAAATACTAAATCCCTGGGATGTGTTTTAGTTGATTATAATCTCTGTTGCATGATTTTTATTATTAATTGTTTTTGGCTTTTAACTAGCTGTCAACAACTGCGAATACTCTCAAATCGTACTTTCTTGTTAATTTGACCTGTTGATACTATTTATAATGTTTTTTTGTTATTTAATGTTTACTTATTCAGGGTTATATCTCGTCTATATACCAACTTTGACAAGTGTTTGGTATGACTATAAATTTTCACTTCTTCGTACTATGAACAAAAAAATATTTCCGTTCTCCATTTAAACTGTATAACCGGCCTTACAACAAAATTATTTTCATTTACCTGTGTATATTATTGTATTTGGCGGCTTTTTGTTAAAGGTTATTGTTGGTTTTTTTAAAATTGTTTAACATCTCACAGCGGTATACTACTGTTGCCTTAAGTTATTTATTCACCCCTTATTTTATTGATTTTGTATTTACATTGTATCATAGATCGCATTTATTCGTTCATTGTATGTTCACTTGTGTTAATGTCTTTTGATTGAGTTAAGCCATTTCAATTGATATTTTATAGTGTGTCTTGCTATGTTGTGATGTTACACTATAATTGTTTCAGATAAGGGTGAAGGCTGGTACCTATTAAAACGTTTAAACCCGTTGCATTTGTTTGCACCTGTCCTAAGTCAGGAATCTGATGTTCAGTAGTTGTCGTTTGTTGATGTGGTTCATAAGTGTTTCTGGTTTCTCGTTTTTTATATAGATTAGACCGTTGGTTTCCCCGTTTGAATGGTTTTAAACTAGTCATTTTTGGGGCCCGTTATAGCTTGCTGTTCGGTGTGAGCCAAGGCTCCGTGTTGAAGACCGTACTTTGACCTATTTGTTTACTTTTACAATTGTGACTTGGGTGGAGAGTTGTCTCATTGGCACTCATACCACATCTTCTTATATCTATATGAGATCAGCTTGACATATAATATATGTTCATGTTACTCAGTCTTGAGTTTTATGTGTTGTGTTAAGATGATTTTTATTAACCAATCATGGTGCCTAAAATTTGAGCTATACAATCAAATGAATTACATTTTAATGCACAGTAAATGATTAGAATGATTAGAGTGATTAAAAGTATATTTAAACAAAAACATGAATACACATTTAAACAAAGTAACATAATTATAAACCATTTTATTGACAAAGCATTAAGTTATTTTGGAAACCACTGTGACCTGGAGAAATTAAATTTCTTAATGTAATCATTTTATAGCCCTAGGCCTATTGGAGACAACTCCTGATCGATTTGTGTTATGTAGCCTGCTGTTTGTTTTTCCTCGTTATTCTTTTCAGCCACGGTATTGTATATATTTCTTAGATTTTTTATATAACCTCGTCACTTTGGTATCTATCTTTCTTCTCTTAAATTTTATAAGCCTGGTACCTTTGATAATTATTTGATCACATAATTAAGAGAAGCACTTGTCTTCAAACTTATATATTTGTTGCGCACGAACATCTCCATGAATATGTTTCATTTCTACATATTTCTATCGGAAGATATAAAGTTAGTCAATTACTCTTTTTTAATCTCATCAGTAATTGCACAAGAACATCACCATGGCAAAATTCTGGCTTACACCAACATCCCAAAGTTTTCCCTTGAAGTTCTTCTATTGATTCCAACAGTGTCTTTCCCTCATATGTCTTCGTATCTGACAAAATGTATTCCCTATACAGTTCTACCCTTTTATCTTTCCCGAGTTTCTCATCCTTAAAAGGATTTTGCCACTTGCTGCCAACAGCCCCAGGAACATAATGGGTCATGTCCCTACCTATGTATATATTGTTGGTGTCTTCTAACCAGTGTTCTAGATCTTTGTAACCCATATGATTTAGGGATCGTTTCTTCACAGATACTACTCTCGTAGGTCGAGGTCGTTGCATCTGCCTCTTTTGGTCTCTTTTTTGATTGGTTTTACTATTCTCTATTGTATCTTTATTATTTCCGCGAACCTGAACATTTTGTTCTGTAGATCCTGAACATTCTGCCATTTTACTGAAAAAAGTACAATGTTACTGAGATGCTGTACTGGACAATGCTGCGACTCTTTTCTCAAAAAATCTTACGATTAAAATTGATCGTAAGTTACACTGAAATGTGTATGACTTACAAGTATTTTTACTCTTAAGATTTTGTGTAAAAAGAGCCGCTGTATCTTAGCGTCGATCAAACCAGCCATGAAAATGAGGCCAATTTAACCTACCAATAATTTTGTAGACCAAATATAACTAATGTCTTAATAACAGTAATTTATAATGTTATATAATCACAAAAACTTAACGTTCATCATTGAGCCATGAAAGTTTATACATAGCAGATGTATTATACAAACATGGTAAATCCAAAACTTCAAGTTATAACACAAGATGCTCATAGGAGCCTGTATCGGTCACCTAGCATTTTTGCCAGAATTAAATTGATACAATGCAACAAGGTTATTTGGTAAAAACATGAGGTTAGTAGATCTGGACAATATCAGAACATATGCCACTGTCAGATTTTCTCTATCTATCATGGTTTTCTAGATAGAAGACATTTAATACATTTTAAACCTATGTTCTGTTTTTAAGCCATGTCGCCTTGTTTATTGACTGACCGGGGAAAACACAACACTTTATGCAAGATACCCTAAGGATCATTCATCCAAAGTTTTGTTGAAATATGTTCAGTAGTTTTAGAGGAGTAGGTCTTTGAAAAATATACGACGGGCACGAAAATCAGTCGGGATAATCGTTTAGGCTATAACTTCTTAAGCAGTCATTCAATTGTTTTGGTTGTCTTACGTATTTGTAGATTTGGTATTTCTGATTATTTTGGCTGTTTACAGTTTTTACCTATCTATTATAGTTTCTTTTGACCGCTGTCCAATCATGTATAAAATACCTCATGAATATCAAAGCCGGCTAGCTTCACACTAATAAAATCATATGGATAAGAATAATAACACTTTAAAGAAGTGAAAATAAGTTAAAATATTAATGAATATTAAATGAATATTAACTAAAAATATTAAAAAAAATAAATGTGGATAGTGTCATCTTGTGGACACAGATGATGCCCCCTCTTGCATATCATATAGTTATAAAGGGACATTAACTGAAGAACGGTAAAAGTGACGCTACCCAAATTTGAACTTGATCTGAGTTTTGTGGTAATAAGCATTGTGTGTAAGTCTCATAACATTTGGTTGAGGCTAACTTTAGAGAACAGAAACTAAAAATTCAGCAATTTTTCTATTTGTAAACACACATAACTCTAGAACGGTTGTGTATAAGTTTTATAACATTTGGTTGAGACAAACTAAAGTTAGAGAACGGAAACGAAAAATTAAGCAATTTTGTGTTTATAAAGGGAAATACCTCAAGAATGGTAAAAGTGTCGCCACCAAATTTCGTACTTTATCTGTATTATGTAGTAATAAACATTGTGTATAAGTTTCATAACATTTGGTTGAGGCAAACTAAAGTTAGAAAACGGAAACAAAAATTTGTACTTGATCTTACTTTTGTGGTAATGAATATTGTGTATAGGTTTCATAATGTTTGGTTGGGGCAAACTTAAGTTACAGAATGGAAACTAAAAATTTTGCAATCTTTCGATTTATAAAGGGGCATAACTCAATATAATGTGGCAACAGGATTATTATGTAATTGTTATTTCCCTTGTTTAAACTATAAATTTCATATTTCTTTATTTTATGGTTTACATAAGGCTTATTGAGTATATATTTGTTAAATTGAATAGATATTTTGGATTCATTGGTTAAATATATTTATTTATATTCTAAAGTTTAGTATTTGCATCGTCGCAAATCATTTATTACCTTCTTCGAAAGACTTGTACATTTTATATAATTGGTTTGGAATTATCATGTTGAATTGTCTGAGGACTGACGTTCAGTCCCACCTAGGAAAGCCGTGCTTTTCAATCACCCTTTAAGGTTTGTGCATCTGCCATAAGCCTTCTTAATACGGGTAAATAATGAAGTTATTGATTGCTCCATTTCTCTACTCTTAGGTTACATAATAAAAGTTGTAATTGTTGATTAAATTATATATTGTTTTCACTGTTTTTGGTTTTCATTTACATAGATATTTATATAGCTCTTTTACATATGGCATCCATCGTCTCCGTTTAATCAGTTCACAAACTAGAACAAGCTGTGGTCCGCATCCCCGAATCTCCAGCAGAATTGTTCCTGCTACAAAAGGTTAAAGTGACACTACCCAAATTCAACTTGATCTGTGTTTTATCAGTGGAAGTCAAAATTAAACATTGCATTGTATAAAGCATTGATTGTAGTTGATTCAACTATAATCGTGGACAAAGGAAGATAACTCCAATTTTAAAAATTACTTGATATTTAGAAGAAAATAAAAATTTTGCAATTTTTCCATTTTTTAAGGGGCATAACTCTAGAACGGTTTAAGTGACGCCACCAAAATTCAAACTGGATCTGTGCTTTGTGGTAATAAGTATTGTGTATAAGTTTCATAACATTTAATTGAGGTAAACTTAAGTTAAGGAACGGAAACTAAAAAAATTGCAATTTTTCCATTTATAAAGGGGCATAATTCTAGAACGGTTAAAGTGACGCCACCAAAATTCAAACTTGATCTGTGTTTTGTGGTAATAAGCATTGTATATAAGTTTCATAACATTTGGTTGAGGCAAACTCAAGTTAGAGAACGGAAACCAATCTTGGGACGTACGGACGTACGTTCGTACGTACGTACAGACGGACTAGGGTAAAACTTAATGCCCCCACCGCTACGGCGGGGGCATAAAAATATATTCATAGAAAAAGGAGGGTACATTTCCCAAGCGACTGTGGATAGAATTTAAAATTATAATCTGTTTTGTGAAAATGACACTATAATAAATATACGAGACGGAGTATGATTGCCATTAAAACAAACCAGACTAAAGACTGAAATGAATACAGATAGAGATTCTTACCTGAAGCTTCAGTTCAAATCGTCACTAAACGCCCAACTAAAAACATGGCCCGTTTTGTTTTAAATTGATATTTCACAACAAGTAGAAACACTGAGTGAGTGACCATGCATGATCAACTAAATCTATATTTATTGATCTTTAAAGTTTATCAATATAAATAGTGTAAACAAGTCAATGTATTACCTGAGAGTATTAATAGAATTGTTTACGTCACAACTTCTCAACCATAATATTGTGGTTTTACTTCCCGAGGATACATCAATCAAACGACACAAAAATCAAGACACCACCTTTATTGCCGAAATAAAATGTTGCTTGCCAAATAAGTATCTCATTAATAGTTAATCATGATAATTCAGTGGTGTAACTAGGCCATTTTTAAGTGTACACCTGAACCTCGACGAAGGGTCTGAGGCTCCCAGAGTGTCCAGGGCAGAGGACCTCCCTGCTGGGGGTTTCTGTCATTAAAAACTCTTTAATAGCAAATTAACATACTTTAGAATTTTTTAATTTTTTTTTCAATTTGTTAATTGTGATTTGGAATCTAATGGTCATTGGTTTTAGAGAAAAATTTCCAAACCAGGTACTGTAAATTATGTTTAAAAGGAGATGTGGGGTAAAACAAATAATCCAAAACTTTAGAAATAGTGACTCGAAGCTCTTAAGAGCCTGTGTCGCTCACCTTGGTCTATGTGCATATTCAACAAAGGACACTCTCCAACATTGTAGACGAGAATAGAATTCATGACAAAAATCTCTGTTGTGTTGATCTTGTATTGCTGATCATTTATTCTGTTTAGTGTTCCTCTATCTTCTTTAGGTTTTGCTCAAAACACAAAAGAGGGTAAAAAATTCCTCATTTAAGAACAATCACTCCTTTAAAGAGTGACAGTCTACTATCTATAACGGTAAAATTTGACCTTTTACTGTTAGTAGATCTTGCCTTGCTGATCAATTTTGTGATTTAAAGTGTCTATTTATCTAGTAATAAGGAGACGTCGGACAATTTCCTCCATCTTGTCTTAATTGTAGACATTGACTTGCTGATCACTGTTGCTTATTAAAGTTTCCATCATCTATTATAATTTTTAAGATATAAGGCAAAAAATGCAAAATCAAAGGGCAATAACTCTAATAAGGAGTCGCAACCATGCAGCCCTATTTATAGACCTTGTCTTGCTGATCATTTTTGCAATTCAAAGTTTCTCTCTATCTATTATAGTTTTTAATATAATAGGCAAAAATGAAAGAAAAAAAAACAAATGGTAAAATTTGTCATTAAAGGGCAATAACTCATATAAGATGCTGTCAGTTTTAACGTATATGAACAATTGGTAGAGATCAACATTCTGAACAATTCTGCTCAGATCAGATTTTCTCTATTTATAGCGGTTTTCAAAATGACAAAACTTGAATTTTACCCCCTATGTTCTAATTTTAGCAATGTCGGCCATCTTGGTTGGCAGGCGGGTCAACGACCACATTTTCTAAACTAGATACCCCAATGATGATTGTGGTAGAGTTTGATTAAATTTTTCCGGACGACAGACGCCATTTGATTAGAAAGACTCATTTGGCCATTCGAGCCAGGTGAGATAAAAAAGGAAGTTTACATTTCAATGTTGTCGTTCTATAATTTTTACTTTATCTAGTTTTCTACCCTTTTTGTGCGCAAATTTCGTTAATGGACACATAAAATAATTAATTTTCAAAGATGGTCAGGTGTTATATGAACATTCGTAAAAGGTTCGTCGTTGAACCCTGTGGCTCGCCCGGGATTTTATAACAGGAAAATAAAAAAGTTAATTATTTTTTTTTATCTACGTTAAATTTTTCTTTATATAGATGTTTTTTCTTGATCTTGAAGGTTAGCTAAATTTAGCTTCCATCCAACTTTTATAACAATCTATGAAGAATGACTTTAAACCCAGGCGGCCTGTTAATTGCAAAAAAAAATGTCCATCTGCCAGTAAAATACGAAAAAATGAAAACAAATACACAATTTTAATTCAGACATTTTCTCTTAATCATAAAAAAGTTTCTGCCAAAGTTGCAGAAAATTCGATGAAGGTTTGACAAAGTAATTAATGGTGAACAAACTTTAACCCAAGACTGGAACTATACTTGTTAACTGCAAAAGACAAAGTCCGTTTATGAGTAAAATCAGGAGCATATATATTAGATATACTGTTCCCAGGTTAAATACAGAAAAGTAAAAATATATTTTCGTCATCATATGCTTTGGATGCTCTTTTAGAAGGAAATTCAAACTCACAAGTCAAAAATAAACTGACAACGCCATGGCTAAAAAAGAAAAAGACAAACATTAGAACACAAAATACAACATAGAAAACTAAAGACTGTGCAACACAACCCCACCAAAAACTTGGAATGATCTCAGGTGCTCCAGAAGGGTAGAATTCACAGAAGATTCAGACTTTAACAGAAAATGAAAAAATATACATACCATTTGATTAAAAGGTAAATGTCACTTATATCTTCTATAATAAGTCATTTAAAAAATTACATTTAAATTGTATGTGTTATCCGAAATGTCAACATGATTTCGTAAACAAAAAGCACGTGCAAATACTAGTGTCAAAATATAGGTGTATCGCAACGCCACCTACATATGCATTTGACCCACATTTATCAAAATCAAAATTTCCACTACAAATAAACGTGAAGTATATACATCTTCTATTATATCGTATAAAACAACGTGAAAAAAGTGACAAAGCGATTCATTCAAATGCAGAATCACACAACACCAGAATAATACTCAGCAAAAGCAGAGTATGTACAATAAAGAAATAAATATGCGTGTAGTCGTTATAGCTGTCATAGAAAATGGGTTTGTACACTTGTTCAATTAAACTACACTTACCTGTACGCGAAGCTAATTGTACGAGGAAAATATATTATAAATGTAAAATTATACTTACAACAGAAACATCATATCCACAACGACACAGTTTCCATATATTTTAATCCAAATATACATATTGATGATAGACTGCATTGGGCTATGTATCGGTATAAAATGTTTACTGTTTTTAAGGTCAAGGTCTTTATTACCAGTAGATGTCTATTTTTAGAAACAGGGAGAAACCTACAAAAAAGATGTATTCTAACCTGTGCAAAAAATGTTAACACAATAGATAAATCAGATAAACAGATAGAACTAAGCATAATTTATGAAATGTTCCATATAAATATAGAATGGAAATTAGTGAAATATTTCAATATTAATGTGTATATAATGTATAATATATTGTGTAAAATGACAACAATTTGTATATATGAAAATGGATAAAATGCTACATATATGTTCACTGAACTGTCAAGGTCTTGGGAAAAAAGAAAAAAGACAAAGGCTTTATGAGTGGTGTAAACAACAAAAGTACAATATACTTTTCGCAGAAGAAACTCACTTTGTACAAAGTAATGTCAACACCATAGAAAAAGAGTTTCACTTTGAGGGGAAACATACCACAGTCTAGGTAGTTCAAATTCTAAAGGGGTATCAATTTTTATTAATAAAAGACTAAATCATTCTATTATAAATACTTTTGAAGATAAAGATTATAGAAATTGATAACAATATTTTACTCTAGTAAATCTGTATGCTCCAAATATAGAAAGTGCACAATATAATAGAAGCATACCGTCTTGGAATTTTAATAATTGGTGGTGATTTGAATGAAACACTATCAGATAAGGACAGAAAAGGTAAAACGATAGATAGTAAAAAAAGAAAACCAGTTAATAGCTTAAAAAATATGATAAAAAGCCATAAACTAATCGATATTTGGAGAGTATTAAATCCTACAAAAAACCAATTTACATGGAAAAGAAAACACAATTGCAATATTGCAAGTAGAATAGATTTTTTTCTCATAAATTCTGACATAAGAAATAGAGTAACAAGTACAGATATCCGCCCAGCAGTGATTAACTGCACAGACCATCAAGCAATTTCACTAAAAATAAAACATACAATACAAGATCAAGGAAAAGGATACTTTAAATTAAACAACAGTATACTTAATGAAAGCAAATACAAAAATGTATAAAAAAATTATTTTAAAGCTTATAGATCAATATAAAGAAGAAGCACTAAATAAAAAACCTACTGTAATGTGGGACATGTTTAAAATTCAAGTAAGGGAGGCAACTATTAACTATTGTAAATCTAGACAAAAAGATAAGAGAAAAGAAGTTAAAAATTTAGAAAATAAAATAAAATATCTTAACGAAATCTGTGATAATGAATTAAATTCACAAAAAGTAAAAGATATCAATAAACAAATTAAAAAAAGTCTTGAAAAAATATATGCAGAAAAAATTAAGGGAGCCCAAATAAGGTCAAGGATTAAATGGATTGAAGAAGGAGAAAAAAATTCAAAATATTTTCTCGGTCTGGAAAAATGTCTACAAACACGTAAAAATATTACATCTCTAAAAGACAACCAAGGCAAAATAACTGATGATCAGAGTAAAATATTAGAAATAGAAAGAGAATATTATCAAAATTTATATACATCCAAAAAAACAGATGTAAAAAATATAAAAAAGTATGTTGAGGAAACAAAAAATGATTACACTCTATCCCATGAAGAAAGTAATGAATTAGAAGGAGAGCTATCAATAGATGAATGTACAAAATCAGTTTTAAATATGAAATTAAATAAATCTCCAGGAATAGATGGATTAACAGTAGAGTTTTATAGAACCTTTTGGCCATATTTAAAAAACTTTGCAGTTTTTGTGTTTAATAAATGCTATGAAAAAAAAGAACTCTCTGACAACCAAAAGATTGGACTCATAAATATTATTTATAAAAAAAATGATCCACTCAATCTTGATAATTATAGACCAATAACTTTGTTAAATGTAGATACTAAAATAATAGCTTATTCATTAGCTCAAAGATTAAAACCAGTACTTCACAAAATTATTCATAGTGACCAAAATGGCTATGTGAAGAATAGATATATAGGGTTTAATATTAGACAGATTCAAGATATAATTGACTATTCTGATAAATTCAATGTAGATGGAGCAATTTTATTTCTTGACTTTTCGAAAGCCTTCGATTCCTCAGAATGGGAGTTTATGTACAGTGCATTAAGAAAATTTGGTCTACAAAATTCTATTATAAATTGGATACAGACTTTATATACAAATATTAAAGGATGTGTAACAAAAAATGGTTGGATCTCTGCACCCTTTGGCATTCATAGGGGAATTAGACAAGGCTGTCTGGTCGGCGCGATTATTTTCGTGATGGCAGTAGAAATCTTAGCATGTAGACTAAGACAAGATAACAATATAAAAGGTATACAAATCAAATTAGATAAAAAAA